TTTCCATGTACAAAGCACAACACAAAAAGAGGGTTCAGTATGAAACCATGAATCTCCATTTCACACTATTTATTTTGAAAAACTGTGTAATAAATCCTATACATTGTTTTCAAAGCTACTCTGCTTCTCTCTGAATTTTCTTTTGTTCTTTGATGTGTGCTGTTTTTATCCCTCCCTCTCTATACCTCACTAGAGAAGACTACCATTAGATACAGCTATGTATGTATATGGAAAACCATACTATACATGATTTTATTTATCAGTTCTTTCTTCGGAGGTGTATTAACTTGAGTATTTATAATATTCAGAATAACTTAGTCGTTCACAGTGTTCTTAAAACAGTATTGCTATTACTGTATACAATGTTCTCTTGGTTCTGCTCATTTCACTCTTCATTATTTCCTGTCTTTGCATGTTTTTCTAAAACCAACCAGCTCATCATTTCTTATAGCACAGAATCATTCCATCACAATCATATACCATAGCTCATTTAACTGTTCCCCAATTGATGGGGATCCCCTCAATTTCCAGTTTTTTTCCCACCACTATAAAACATTTTAGAGCGTATAAGATCTTTTTCTTTTTCCCTAATCACCTTGGGGGAAAAAACCTAATAATGATATTGCTGGGTCAAAGGGCATAATTGTTCATAATTCCAGATTGCTCTCCAAGATGGTTGGATCAGTTCACAGTTCTGCCAGCAGTGTATTAGTGTCTCAGTTTTTCCACATCCAATTTTTAATATTCATTTTTTCAAAAATTTTATTCCTCAGTTTTCTACCTCCCTTCTCCCCTCTCCAAGGCAGTAAACAATGTGTTAACATGTGCAGTCATGCAGAAATATTTCCATGTTAGTCACACTGTGAAAGAAGACACATGACAAAATAAAGTGAAAAATGACATGCTTTGATCTCCATTCAGACTTCTTCAGTTCTTTCTTGGATGTGGATAGCACCTTTCATCATGAGTCCATGTATTCTGTTACAATCATGTATTACAACTTATTCAGCCGTTCCCCAATTGATGGGCATCCCCTCAATTTCCAACTTTTTTGCCACCATGGAAAGAGTTGCCCCAAAGCACTTTTCTTAAATGCAATTCTGACCTTATGACAGAGCCTGACGCCTAGTAAGAACTTAAATGCTTATATTATTGATTCACGTCATTCTTTCTATCCCCACCCCACCTCCACCCAGAAACTCCCTCTAGGATCAAATAAATGTAAGCCCTTTCTGGTATTTAAAGCTCTTCAGAATCTGGTTGCTTCCTACTTTTCTAGTCTTCTCACATTCCCCGTCCCCTGCCACACTAGCCATACTGGCCTTGTTGTTTCTCACATATTATACTCCATCATCTGCCCCTGCATTTTCGTTGCTATTTCTTGTATCTGGGATGTTTTCCTTCATTACTTCTTGGAGACTTTTTATGCAGTTTCCCCATTGTTACTAATAAGAAATATTTTTTTAAAAAAACAACCCTCCAAAACCTTTGTGTTTACTTTAGTGACAGGAAAATAGGGGAAAAGCTGCTAGGGTGTATGCCGGACTTTAGTAGCCCAGTGGGGAAGAGAAACCCCATTTAGAAGCAGTAGATGGTAGCAATAGGAAGGGAATTAGGTAGGCTAATTTTTGAGAAAAGGGAATGAACAGGAAGCTACCTGGGACCAAGAATTGATTTGTACTGATTTGAGATTTTTGCTCTTATTTTCCTCAAATCTGCCTCAGTCTATAAGAGTGACCACCAGTAGGTTGGGGCTTCATTCCCAGAGCCAGGCAAAAGGAGGAAAAAGGGAAGGACATAATCTCATTTCAGTGGGAATGTAATTGATGTTCCAAGTTGGAACCTTTATGATGTTTTTCTATAGAAACTTTTAACTTGAGTCAACTTAGATTAACTTCCCTGGTTAACTTGAGTAACAGGAACACTAAAGCTCCTAGTAAGCTGAGGATAACGATGTATGGTAAGGACAGCAACGAGGGCTGTTTTACTTATTGGGCAGGAGGGAGGATTTGTATCATATTTAAGGAACATAATGGGTTAATTTGGCTTTTGTGGGCTGATCTGGTGGCCTAACTACTATTTATAGCATCAATTGAAAATGTCAGGGGGAATCAGGGGAAAAAGCTACACATGTGTAATTGACAAACCAGGTACCACAAAAGTAGCAAATGCAACATAGAAAGGTCAGTAGAGAGGACTGATAACTTACCAAAGAGTCTTATCTAAAAAGGGAAGTATAATGAAACCCATGGCCCCATATATTTATACATAAATGTATAAATTATGGGTAATAAGATGAACTTGATCATTGATAAAGACTATAATTTCAAGCCCTTAGTCATTGAGATTGGGTAAAAATGATTCCTGGTTAGACTATGAGAATGGATGGTTATTTTTTATTCAGAAGGAACATACGTAATAAAAGGGGACGCATCATTCCATGTCAAGAATGGGTGCTCATGTGAGGAAATCTGGGAACGATGGTAGACAATGTTTGCATGAAGATCAGTGTAGAGAAAATGGAAGTGATATTGTGGGGGCAGCTTATACATGGCCCATCCGTAAGAAGACATAAATGATGAGTTCAGGAAATTGATCGTACTTCTGGCATAGATAATAGTCGTAGGGGACTTCAGCCATTTGAAACTGGCTCAAAGTAGGCACTTATTAAAAGTGTATTGATTAATCTCATGAAGCTTTCTGCTAAAAAGCAAGAGCAACTGATATATTCTTAATTTTCATTTCAGTTTATTATTATGTATTTATTAAGCACCCACTGTGTGCTAGGCACCGTAGTCGTCATGGGGGATACAGACCAAAAAATGAAACAGCCCTGCCCTTGAGATGCTTATTATTTTACTGACTTAATGCCACGATAATTTCATTCATCAAAAAGTACAGAAAAATGACTTGGGGAACTGCTGCCCTAAACTTATTTGTGCCCAGCAAGGAGGAACTGGTTGTCAAAATAGGAATGTTGGAAATATTGGAAGAATTTGATTATTAGGATTAGAAGGATTAGAGTGAGAGATAAGAAGATGAAAGCTAGGCATAATTTGATGCCTATCTTAAATTTGAGGACCACAAATTTTACATATTTCAGAAAAAGTAGGTAAGATCCTAGGGACAAAATTATAGAAAAGAATGGGATACTCTCAAGAATGAAATTGTTATCATCTGTTTTGAGGGAGGTTTGGAAATGAAAATATTATAAAAAACCCCAAAATTATCAATAAAAATTTAAAAATGAAAAAGAATTTGACCTAAGAAAGTTAAAACTTGGTTAAATTGAAATTCTAACCTTTAGTATTTGTAATAGAGGTTGACCCTTGGGTTCCACTCAGCCCTGTAATAATCTCCGTTCATTAGTAGCTGAGTAAACAGCAGGCATATGGAACTGCTTTAGAAGCTATCTTGGTTAGAGTTCAGCTGCAAGTGCAGCAATTCACACCAACTTGAGAGAGGATTAGTTTTGTTAAAAGGTTAAGTGATATGTTCAGATCTGTCATAAACAAACAAAAAGCTGTCAGATAATGACAGTTTTTGAGCAATTGTGAGATAACTTTTGTGGTACCAAAAAAGCCTGAAGGAAATTGGATGCCAGTTGATTGGGGAATGAGTGAACAAGTATGGTATATGGTAATGTAATATAATTATGCCATAAGAAATGATAAATATGATAAATTCAGAAATGTTTGGAAACACTTCTGTGAACTAATTCAGAATGAAGTAACTAAAATTAAGAGACCAACAATATATAGACTACTAAACAAAAGAGTAAAAGAGTGAACAATGAATTTCACATAAAAATTCAGATCCATGTAATGACCTATCTTAATTGGACTGATGTTGATATTTCCCTTCTCTCTACTGCAAACCCTGTTAGATTTGGTCACTGTATCTGTGGTTTGTGATTAAAACATTTAAAAAAAAGAAAAAATGAGATGCTGATATTATCCCAGTTTACTGAGTAAAGAAACAGATTTGAAACAAATGAAATTCTGAAGACACACAAATGCTTCTCATGAAGAGGATGGACTGTATAAAGTGACACTATTAATATGTAGGGAATTTATTGGCTAAGGTAGAATTTAAACAGATATGTTTAGAAGATTGAAGCAAGGATAGGTAACTGTATGAATACAAAAGAGTGCTATGAACTTCAGAGAATAAAAGCTGTACCATTGAAGCTCAGATGACCCTGCTGATGAATGCTAAAAACAAAAAGGGCTTTTCCCCCCCAAATCTAGACTCTAGAGGACAAGAGGAAGGTCAGAGAAGAGACATTGGTGTCCTTGGGACATTGATAGCAGATGATGGAGAGAAGGATTTTAGGTTTCTTTTAGCCATTTTTTCCTGTCCTTAGTCCAAAGATGATGATGATTATTATTTTGGGAACTGTATGTGTGTGTGTGTACACCCAGTATTGTGTAATAAAATAACAAAAAATGAGTCTATAAAGAACTTGACATTGAATCCACTTCGACCAGATTATCCCAGTAGCATTTTAAAATTAAAACAGGAGGACAGTAGACAAGAAAATGAAATATGTTAGCACAGATTTTTTTAATGTTGTTTTTATTTGTTATGAAAGAGGAACTCCAAATGGGCAGGACCAGGAATAGTGTATGAATATGCACATATATACACAGTAGTACAGAAATGTGCACACATGTCGGTACTGTCATTATAAAGAATGTATAGAAGCCGAGGTTGAGCATTGTTACCTTAGGTTGATAGAATAGTCCACAAGTTTTTGTTCCAAAAGTTATATATTTTATTAAAATAAACATTATTAATAGTATATACATTTTGTTGAAACACTATATTTTAATAAAGTTCTTCCAGAATTTGTTTTAACTGTTTGATAATTTAATTATCGTGTATTCCTTTCACTACTTTTAAAACTCTCAAAATCCAACTCTTAAGACCCTATTAGGAGTATTATCAAATTACCGTTTTTGGAACTGTGTCAAAGAACTATTTGTTTTACGAATTAGGAGCCTTTTGTGGCAGATGAGTACATTGAACGTCTGGTGTGGAGAACTCCTGGAGGAGGCTCTCGAGGAGGACCTGAAGCTTTTGATCCCAAAAGGTGAAGTGAAAATTTTACATCGGTCTATTTTTTGGTGTGACTACATTTTGAAATGAAGTAATTCTAATTAGTTTCAAATTTCTATCTGACTTGATTTTACCAAACAATTATAAACAACATCTTTAGTGAGTTTCAGAAGTAAGATGTTTTCCTTTAAGTTGTCAGTGTTTTTGAATTTTTATGACCACTTCATTTTGAAGACTTTCATCTGGTTTACTGGCATGATCATTTAAGGAAAACTTATAAACTATGTTATAGATGTGTATACAGTACACCTCTCTAAAACATGTTAAACATCTATTTTAAGTACATGAATTTCAGTGATGTATACAAACTTGAGCACTGCAAATTGAACAACTAATCAAGAATTAATATATGTTGGGTTTTGGAATGCATTATATGATTTGTAACACATTTTGTCTTCCTGATGATTTTCCTTAGACTTATATTAAAATTATTTTGTAGCTCCTGGGTGCATAACTCATGATTGGTGGGGAGTTGGACCCAGAGTTAAAATTTCGGCATGATTTAACCACCAAATGATAGTTTTCATTTCAACACTTGAGAGATATATTTCTGAAGTAACATATATTTTTGAAGTTTTAAGTCCTGAACAAGGGCAGAAAATAGTATGAAATAGTGGGAAGATTTAAACACTATTGTTAAACAAAGATGGGTTCCTAAAAGATTGCAGAGAAATAACTTTCTCTGTCCTATGGAGTTTTTTATTTAGGTTTGGATTATATATGTGAATTGATTTATTAGTGGATTCTGTTTGGACATAACTGTTTTTGTACTTTATAACCATTTTATTTTAACAGATTGTTAGAAGAATTTGTAAATCATATTCAAGAACTGCAGATAATGGATGAAAGGATTCAGAGGAAGGTCGAGAAACTGGAACAGCAGTGTCAGAAAGAAGCCAAGGAATTTGCTAAGAAAGTACAAGAACTCCAGAAAAGCAATCAGGTAAAAATCAGGATAAGTCATCTAAAGGATAAAGAAGTAGACATGTACTTCATCTTTAAATTATTCTTTCTGATGTTCAGTTAAAAAAAAACTAATAAAATGAAAATTATTATTTCTTTAGGGGTATTTTCTGTGAAGTAAAAAAAAAAATTAGCGGTCTAAAATTGTTGGCTTGAAATCAGTTACTCTCTTTTGGATTTAATAGTGAATGTTGGTTCCAAATCAGACTACATGTTCCAAGGAAGCTGGTTAATCCTAGACCTACCCTTGGTTTTTAGGAAGACATCTCTAGTGAACTGGCCTTTTTTTCTTAAACAGATCCAAGATTTTAGGATGACCTTGTAGTTGACCTTTATTGCTTTGAGGGTCTCCTGCATCACCTTTTCACTCAAGGCAAACTCAGTCTGGGAAGTAAACTTACAGGGGATGTGTGTGTCCCAATAAGATTTATGTTCCTTTTCATTCTTTCAAAGCTATAAAATTTCTGTCTAAAGTCTAGGGACTACTTATTTGGAAGGATTGTTCCCCTTAGAGATAGTCTGATGCACATAATTTAGAACATAGTCAAGCCCCAGCATTAACTTCAGGCCAGAGAAGACCCATTAATTAGCCCTTCACAGACCAATTTCATAACTTGTCTGGCCCTAGATATAACCTTTGAGATTTTAGAATGGGGAACATCCTTTATCTTTGGTGCCCCAATTGTATCTTAAATTTTGAGCAGCCTGTTCTTAAGCATTAATGCAAAGATTTCATTAATTTGTCTTATATTTTTAGATGTAAAAAGTTCATTGCTTCAGATTTTCTACTTTTATGTATTCAAAATTCAAATATAATGGATACTTATTAAGTACCTGTGTGCAAGGCATTGTATTTTCTATCATAATAGCTTTGCTAAAATTATGGAAGAAATATTTGTCTACTTAAAATAGTGCTTCAACCTCTAAAGCTGTCCCTTTTGCATTTAATTAAAGCAGTAATTAAGATGGATCCTGTCTGTTTAAATAGGTTCAGTAGGAAAGCCTCTGCTAGGCAGGTCTGTATCCTTGTGTTATAAAACTTAGATATCTAGGTTCCTTTACTTTCCCCAGAACCTGGATCTTGTGATGCTGTTTCCCTTTTCACTAGCCAGCCTGGAGCTCTTTGCAGGGTTTTCTTTATTACTGTATTCCTTCACTGAGAAACAGTGTGGTAGAATAGAAACAGTCTTAGAGTCATGGGAGACCTAAGTGTAAATCCTGCTTTTGATGCTTAACAATTGTGTGACTGTAGTTGAGTCCCTTAACCTTTCTGAGCCTTGGTTCCCTCAGTGTAATTAGCCAGGCTTGATTCAGGTCTGTCTGGTAGCATAGGTTTGGGTTTGAAATGAAATAAAAATTCTTAAAACATCTGACAGTTAACAGAAGGTTTAGTTAGTCATAGCAGGGAAAGAATATTCAGTAAAGATATAGCATTGATTCAGTTAGCTGTAGCTGCCTGTGCTGTGTTGCCTGCACTGGTTTGCTCATCAGGAGCCTGAGCGTGGGAGTTGCTGTTGATTCTTTTCGTCTGACTTTTCTGAACCTAGGCTACATAAGCAATCTGAGTCTCAGGCTCCTGAGGCAATAACCTCAATAATCTTTAGGGCAAAACTAACCTAGTCTGCGTGGGACAGGTAGGACCTGGGATATTGCTTCTACTTGTACTTGTCTATAAAGTGAGAATAATAATACCTGTGATACTTAACTTACATAGTTGTTAGGATCAAATGAGACAGTAGATATAAAATATTTTCCAATATTATGTAAATGCTATGTAAATATTAGATATTATTGCATTCTTATTTTTTGTAATAGAAATGTTATCTTGTTTTTCTCATCTTTTTTGATGGGTTTTAGTTAAAAACAGTCCTGTTAAAAACAAGTCACTATCCTACTACTATTCTTTTATTATTATGTTGTCATTATATCATCTTATCTTTTTAGTATAGTTCAAATAGAAGTGGTCCTGGGACAAATTGTTATCCTGCTATTATTCTTTTATATAAGACTTTTGTAAAAACTTCAGAACAGAAGTTTTAGCAGTTGTTGCCATACCAAAGGCTCATAATCTCTGAGCTACATAGAATGAAAAGTTTTCAGTATATATAGAAATTAAAGTTATGCAGAAATAATATGAGGTATATATCATCTTTGTTGTCCTATTTACCATTAGAGCTGTACCAAGGATGTGTTTATATTTTAATACTTTTATTCAACTATAAAAAAAGCAGTTATTTTAACTACCTGTGCAGTAATCTGGAGAACACCTGACTTTCAAATGAGAGAGACTCTCCTGTTTGGGTCCAAGGCTGACTCTTAAGCTTAAAAGGGGTTTTTCCTATCTCTACCTATCTGTGCATGTGCATTTTTCTCTCCTTTGAGCAGTTAAGATGAGTGAGAATTATCAAGTGCAGCCCTCACCTCTTCCTCCTTGTGTGTATAGACTTCTACTTTTGCACCTAACTTCCCTCATCCTTCACCCTTCCTTCCCTGCTTTCACATCCTCTCCCGGTCCTTTGCATGGTTATTTTTAAGACCATCAAAACATAACAGAACTACTCTCAGCTCCTCTGTATAATTAAATTCCCTCCTAATGATATTAGGATCTTGAAGGGACACATGTCTCATCTCTCCATATTAGAATGTGAGCAGCTGATCCTTTTTCATCTCTTGAAATTGCTCGCTCATGTTTACCTTGTTGCTTGACTTCTTTGTTTGCACTTCATAGTTTCTATGCAGCTCTGGTGTTTTTATCAGGAATGCTTGGAAGTCTTCTTGTTCATTAAAAATCAGTTTTTTCCCCCTTGTAGGATTATATTCAGTTTTGCTGGGTAGATTATTTTTGGTTGCCTTTTGGATTATCGTATTCTGAGCTCTCTCTGCTCTTTTATGGTAGTGAAATCATGTGTAATCCTTATTATGGTTCCTTTAGTGCTTGAATACATTCTGACTGTTTGCAGTATTTTCTTCTTTGATCTAAAACCTCTGAATTTTGGCTATATTGGCTTATTTGGCTATTTTGGTTCCTACGAGTTTTCATTTTGAAATTTCCAGAGGTGACTGGTGAATTCTTTCCGTTATCTATTTTACCCTCTGGTTCTAAGAGTTCTGGACAGTTTTCATTTATGATATCTTGATATATGATATCTAGGTGCTCTTTTTTTTTTTGGTCTTGGCTTTCAGGTAGTAGATAGTTTCAGTGATTCTCAGATTATCTCTCAATCTTTTTTTGAAGTCAGTTATTTTTGCTGTGATATACCTTATATATTTTTCTATTTTTTCAGTCTCAATTTTGTTTAAATATTTTTTTCATTGTTTCATGAAATAATTAGATTCTATTTGGCCTATTCTATTTTTCAGGACTCTGTTGCTTGTGCAGGGTTTTGCACTTTTTATGTCAAGCTGTTATTTCCGTTCCTAGTTCTTTTGCCCATAGCTCTCATTTCTTTTCCAATTTTTTCCTCTAGCACTTGTTTCATTTATAAAAGCATTTTTAAACTCTTTCTCCATCTCTTTCAGGAATTCTAGTTCAATTTTTGCCCAAGCTGTGTTTTTCTTTGCTTGTAGATATTTTGGATCCTTTATTTTCTTCTGAGTTTGTGTCTTTACTGTCTCTGTCACCATAATAGCTTTTTATGGTGGTGTTTTTTTTTTTTTTGCTCATTATTCCAGACTGCTTTTTCTGACTTTGGATTTTGTGTTAGAGTCAGATTCTATACACTTATGAAGGTGTTCATCCTTCTGCTGCTTTCTTGAGGGAGATTAAGTGTTGAGTTATTCTAGGATGTCAGGGACAGTTCAGCATCTGCAAGCTTTCAGAGCCCTCTAAGTGGGCTCATCCAGAACAGAGTTGGATTTGTGCTTCGCATGTTGCTGACCTGGGTTTGCCTCCGAACTGCATGCCTATGAGCTTGCCCCAGTTGGTGTTCTAGTAGTTTGCTGCTGGATTCAGCCATTATATTCTGCAGGTTCAGCTTTGAGGTTTCTGACCTGGTAATTACACTAATTAGACTAGAGGCTTTAACTGAGACCTTACTCTACTCCTGGGATCTAAGCCATGCAGCTGTGGCTTGCTTCTGAACTTACTCCGTTGCTGGTATACAGCTTAGGGACCACGATTCATTCCTCCCTGGACTGCCACCTCCAGGCACAGGTCCCATCCTCAGTCAACCCTGGATTTGTGACCTAGAACTGGGTAGTGAACAACAGAGTTGTCATTTGGCATCTATTCCTACACCCTGATAAGGTCAGGCCTCTTTCTTCTCAGTCTGGGGCCTCTTTCTGCTCAGTCTGGGACCTCTTACTGCCCTGGTGTACGAACTTTCCTTTCTAGCCATTCCTGACTAGACCCCTGTCCTCAGTGTCCATTATACTCTCTGTCTCCCTCTGTTGACCTGTGCTGGAAAAATGACTCACTGTGATTTTTGTTTTGAATTTTCCAGTCAGAACTTGGTCTAATGCATTTTCCAAATCTGTTTAGAGACATTTGAGGGGAATTCTGCTATGTTTCTTTTTGATACCTCATCATCTTGGCTCCTTGACTCTGGGTTATTTTTAATACAGAATACTTGAAACATTGTTTAAAAATTTTTTTTTAATCATCTGAATTAGGAAAATAGATTGAATATTTAGTTTGTTATGTACTGGTTTAATAATAACTTTTATTTTTTTGCTTTCACCTATTTCTTTATAGGTTGCCTTTCAACATTTCCAAGAATTAGATGAGCATATCAGCTATGTAGCAACTAAGGTCTGTCACCTTGGTGACCAGCTGGAGGGGGTAAACACACCACGGCAACGAGCCGTGGAGGCTCAGAAACTGATGAAATACTTTAATGAGTTTCTAGATGGAGAGTTGAAGTCTGATGTTTTTAAAAACTCTGAAAAGGTAAGAGCTGTCAGCAGGGTAAAAGCAGTACATTAAATAGCATAGCCCTAATTACAGCTATTGTGATTTTAAATGGTGAGACTTCAAACCAAAGAGTGACTGACTTATGAAAAGTTTTGTTTTGAAGTGTAAGTCAACACTTGACTGCAGATTGCTGATAAAGCATTTATATTCAGTAATTCTTAATGTGGTAATACTGACGTTTTTCATTTGTGAAATGACATGAGATTTTAGAAATGCTGATACCATCAGTTTTAGAATGCAGTTCTTTCCCATTAACTTCTTCTACAATGCATCTATATTTGGAATATGGCTTCCTGGAGGGATGAGGGGAAGGGGTATGAGCTAAATAACTCATAATCTGAAAGTTTTTTCTGTGTATTAAACTGATAGAATTCAGAGATCTGGTCCAAAACACTTAGTTTTCTTACTGAAGATATCCTATAAAGAATTAAGAGTATAGAGTTTAGACCCTGGACAAATGAAAAATCTGAATTAACTATTTCATGTTAATCCTTTTCATAGCACTAGTCACTTAATCCTGGTCTAAGGGTACATGGTATTGGCTGCTCTACAGTCTTGAAAAGAAGGTAAATTTAGCTCACTTTTTTCCCCTCAGGAAAAGAATCAAAATGCATGAGACTTTAAAGACATTTGTGAATGGCATATGCATACAAAAGAATTTCCTAAGAATTTACTTTGAATAAAATACTATTGAATTGTTCCCAGTGTACCCTGTGAGTGTTGGAGTGATTTTTGTCTCCCTAAATGTTGGAGTGATTTTTATCTACGTGGCAGTAAAATTCAGTTTCAGCAACACTGTCTTCTTGTTTAATGTGTGTGTAGGTGATATAAAACCATAAAAATTTATAATTTATTAAAGTCAAAAAATTAATGCATTGCCAGTTATATGTGAGTGTGTATCTTTGTAGACATATTGACCTTTTAATATGTGTAATTGTCATCGTATTATCTGTAAAATAAGACAGTGGAATTAAATCAGAAGAAAAGTTAAGTATGTTAATGAATATGTAAGATAGTAGCCCGGGCCAGTTTCTTTAAATGTGGGGTTTCATCTTTATACAAGTAATTCCATACGGTAAAATTAAAAAGGGTCACGTGTCTCTGTGTGCGTATGTGTGTATTTATATTCTGTTAGTGCTGTGATGTGGCTGTCTTCTCTAATGTGAACTGGCCTGCTTCTTTGCAAGCAGATCAAAACAATCATCCAGAACCTAAAGAAAGAAGGCATATCAAACTGAGGCAGGTCATATGGCTCCATGCTAGTGATCAAATTTGGATGAAGTTGTAAGGTTTCAACTTAGTATTAATTATGTTTCCTTTAATCTTTTTATTATCCACCAAAAAATTGTAAAGTTGTAAATATTGTGTGCACGTCCTCTTTAATCTTTGGAGAACTTTATAAAAAGAGAAGTGAGCATTTTTCATTCTCATTGCATGCCCTAGATGATTGTCTCATATTCTCAGCACCTCTGCTTCCTCTCCTTTTCACTCCTTTCTAAACAGCAGTTTGATTTCCAGTCACATCCTTCAGCTGAAACTTCCTTCCAAAATTACCAGTGACCTCTGAATTGCCAAATCTAACAGGCTTTTCTCTCTCATCATTCTTCTTGACCTCTTTGTAGCATTTTGACCCTGTTGACTCTTTCCTGTCTGGGTTTTCCTTTCTCTACTCTCCCTCTAACTGCTCCTCTCAGTCTCCTTTGCTGAATCTTTATTCATACCCACTAAGTGTAGGTATCACCTCCAAGCCTCTTCTCTTTTCTCACTATGACCTCTCACCTGATATCAGTAGCTTCCCATGGGTTCAGTTATCTTCTCTTCACAGATGATTCACAGACCTCTATATCCAGACCTAGTCTAGTCTGTCACTGAGCTTTAGTCCTGCGCTACTGACAGCCTGTTGGACATTTCAAACTTCATGTTCTGTAGATGTCTGAATCTCTACCTGTCCAAAGCTGATCTCATTATCTTACACACTCACCCCAATTGGGAACTTGGCTCTTTTTGTCAGTGGCACCACCATATTTCCAGTCACCCCAGTTCCACAACTTTAGTATCATCTTCCTCTTTCTCTCTCCCTTAACATATCCAGTCATTTGCCAAGTCTTGTCATTTATTTCTCTCTAGTATCTCTTTTATGTATCCTTTTCCTATTTACATAGCTACCAATGTGGTTAGGCCCTCATCAACTCTTTTGGACCATTGCAGTTGCCTTCTAAGTGGAGTACCTTACTCAAGTCTCTCCCTACTTCAGTGCATCTTCCCCATGGCTCCCAAAGTGATTTTTCCTAAAGGGTAGAAGGGTAGATCTGATCATGTCACTCTTCTTTCCCCCCCCCACTCTCCAACACACACACATACACACACACTCTCTCTCTCTCTCTCTCTCTCTCTCTCTCTCTCTCACCCTCTCCCTCTTTCCCCCCTTCCCCATCTCTTTCTTCCCCCTCACTTCAGTGACTCTCTGTTATCTTTAGAGTCAAATATAAACTCCTATTGTTGGTATTTAAAGTTCTTTACATTCTAGCCCCTTTCTATCTTCTCAGTCTTTAATTTCCAATCTTTTAATACATTGCTCTCCTCCATGCTAACCATACTGGCCTACTTGCAGTTCTTTGCATGTTATCCTGCATCTCCATTGTCTTTGCTTTTGTACTAGCTGTCCTGGAATGCGCTCTCTCTCCTAATCTCCAGTTTGTGGAATTCCTGGCTTCCTTTAAGACTTAGCTCAAGCCCCAGTTCTGCCATTGGCCATTCTTGGTCCCCTAACCCCTATTAGCCATTAACTTTGTATTTATCTTGCATGTATTCATTTATTTATATTTTGTCTGCCCCATTAGAAGGTAAGTTCTTTTAGGGCAGGTATTGTTTTTCCTTTTTCTTTTATTCTAAGCAGTTAGCATAGTTCCTGGCACATAGTAAGCTTGTTGATTAGATTGATTCACTTAACTACTTTGTGCCTCAAAAGAATAGGAGGCTATACAGAATCATTAAACTGATTTGCCTTTTTTCCCTCCAGCTTGCCTGTCCTCTGTCTCATCCCTAATTCTCTTCCTCTGCTTCTGTATTTGCTTTTTATCATTTATACTTTCTCTTTTTGTCTCCCTGCCTCACCAACTTGAGATTACCAGTGGCTGACTGTGGATTGTTCCTATCTCAGATTATATCATAAGCAGTTATATTCGAGAGTTCACATATTAGGTTGCCAGATAGCAGCTAACTTTCCAGCTATGTTATTTCCTAGGCTGTGTACCAGCCACCTTTTAGAAAAAGAGAAAGCAAAACAGAAATCTTCCATATAGCTGAAGATGCTGACAAAACAAAAGGGACGATCAGGAAACTGCTAAAATGTCTCGCTTCTTTCTCATCTTATTACTTAGCAATTTCTGCCTTTTCGAAGTCTTATTTTTTAAAGGTATTCTTGAACCACTAATCTGAATTAAACCTATTCTGATCATTTCTTTTTCCATTAAAATAAAAATCCATGCAAGTCCATCCTTGGGGGGAAAAGAAAAACCCAGTCCATATTGTATTTTCCAGTGAGTTTATTGTCATGAACTTGATTTTTATTTAGATGGTAAGATGTGGTCAGAGTGCAGCGTAACCATTACCATGCCTCATGTTTCTTTGTATGTTGCACCTGTGTAGATTTTTTTAGCCTTGTAAATAGACTTTCGAGATGAGTTAGCATCTTTGGTATACAGTACAGCAGAAAAAATGTTGTATTTAGATTCAGAAAACCTGGGTTCAAATTCCATGCCTGCTACTTATTACCTTTGTGACCTTGGGGCAGATCAGTCATCCTGTCTGTGTCTTAGTTTCCAAATCTTTGAAATGAAGTTATTAGCCTAGAGTCAGAAGGGAGCTCAGAGGCCATCTGGTCTGACACTCCCTCCTCCTTGTCTCCCTTATTTTACAAAAGTGGTAATGGAGGCTTGGAAAGGTTATGACTGGCTCAGGGTCACATAGACAGTAAATTTCTAAGGTAAACTCCAGAGTCACTGTTCTTTCCACTCTGATATGATACCTCTTAGCTACATTGTAGGTCTAAATCTATCGTCCTATCACTATATAAATTCCAATGCTTTAGACTTTAAAGCAACAATTAACCAACAGAACTTAAGTAAAAGAAAGCACAATTTATTACTTTGCAAGACTCAGCAAGCAGTAAGTTTGTTAACATTTAATAGTTAGGATAATTATCCCTTAAATTAAAACAAACCATTAGGTTGACAACAGTAATGTCAACACAGAAATAATCTAATTTGTGATTAGTTATATACGTTAAGCAGTCACATTTAGCTTTACATAAATTATATCAGTAAATCTTGTGTGGTAAATTTAGCTTTTAGTAGTGAGACAGAATAACCAGTGTAGAATTTTGAGGAGTGAAGTCGGTCAGTGCCAGTGTTTATAGTAATTTGTCACTTATGAAGAAAGCAGGTGATAAAGTTCTCAACAGTGGTTAGCCATTGGTTAACCATTATGTTGGGGCTAAGTGATACTTCCATGAGCAGTGTAAGCATGACTTGTTGCTGGGAAACAGCATTCACTGAGCTGCTGGAGAGTCAGTGACTCAAACAAATACTATGTTGTCTGTGAGAAGAAGATAGAAATAGCATCAGACCTGCATGTGGCATTTCTAGTTGCCTACTACACTTCATACGTATACTCAGTAAAAATATCAGTTCTCTACAAATGTCAGAAATAACTATTTTTAAATAAAAAAGAAACATTTAAAGAAAGACAACAGAGCCATTAGTAGAACTTTAAAATTTTTAAAGTCAGGCTCTTAACATGTTTATTATATGCTAAAATATGCTAGGTGGCACAGGGCCTAGAATCGACCCTGGGCAAGCCACTTGACCCTGTTTGCCTCAGTTTCTTCATCAGTAAAATGAGCTAGAAAAGGAAATGGTAAATCACTCCAGTATCTTTGCTAAGAAAATCCTAAATGCAGTCGCAAAGAATCAGACGTGAGTGCAGTGACTGAACAACAACAAAATAATTTCATAGTACCAAAATAATACTTATCTTGATATGGCGTATATGACCAAGGCTTCAAAAGAAACTAGAGGTCAGTATTTTGAATTCATTTATGTATATTCATTTTTCATTCACAGTGATACTGTTAAAATTGTATTCTCTGAGATAGATTTATCACTTCTTTTAGTCTTCATTCTGAATTATTTAAAAATTTTGTTAGGACATTTGCATTTTTTTTTTCATTTTAAACTGTCAAAATTTGTCATTATGTATGGGGGAAAATGCTAAAGAGAGATTCTTGACTCTGACATATATAGATCATTAAAAACTTTTTTAGATTTGGGCATAAGGGATAAGGAAATCTACCTCTTCTTAGCTGTGCTGGAATGAAGAGGATACTACAAAGAAAGATAAAACCAGAAGATATTCTTTACTTTGTTACTGTTTGACTATAGATTTTCTGCCATTCCTGAACCATAGGAAATCTGTCACCAACAGTTATTAAGCACTTAAAGTTAGATTTTTATGGTAAGATTCACTTATTAACCTATAATTCCTCCTTTTACTTTAGTCTCTGTGTAGTATTTTTTTTAGTCACATCTCTTACACACACACACACACACACACACACACACACACACACACACACACACAATTTCTGTGATAAAATCTTTACTAATGTTGTGAAAAAGGTAACAAGCTCAAGGCTTCCAGTAGAATTATCCCTACTTCTCTGCAATTTTATAGAAATGAAGATATATCCTAAAATCTCACAGAGAATACCTGCTTTCCTTTGTATGTTTTATTTACTAATATAGACTTGTGTGAGATAATATTACAATTGTGACACATCATATAAATCTCACCTCAGTCATATAAGTACTTTTATTGTGATTCTTCATTCCTATTCCTCTGTCTCCTATCTCTTTTATCATCTTCCAACTTATATGCAGTATACTGACCAGCTTATAAGATTTAGCCAGATTCCTTCTACTGTTCTCTGGCTTCAGAATCTGAGGGCTAAATTTAGTCCTGTCAGTGGGTGAGACAGAATAATTCAGATGTCTTGGGTTTACCTTTGATTTGGAAATGTAACACCAAAGCTTTGGTCAAATAACCAGCCAAAATTCAAGCTTGGAGTGGTGAGGCCCTGTTGTATATGTGTATAGATAGTTCCAGTTCACCGTAGTTCTAGGCTTGAATTATAAATATTTGGTTGCCTAGAAGGCTTTTATATGTTGAGTTCTGAAAATAATTATAAAGGTATTTTTATTGGATGGCATTGTGTAATGTAAATGTGTAATTTTGTCTTGAAATACATGAATTTTTGTTGCTTTTTTTTTTCCAGATAAAGGAGGCAGCTGACATTATTCAAAAGTTACACCTAATTGCCCAGGAGTTACCCTTTGATAGGTGAGTTTAGTTGTCAAGACCTAATATGGATGGGAGAACTTTTATTGTAAACTATGTTTTTTCCTATGTGATTATTTAAAAACTGATTTAAGTAATATTATTTTAAGATTTCTTGTTAACTTATGCAGCTATTTAGGTAAGTTTTTTAAAAAAATCTGCTAGAATGTTTGAAAGATAAAGTTGACCAAAATTTAAGTGTTACTTATAGTTTGGGATTTTGTAACTCTTGGTCCTCATTCTTTTCTTTCTGATTGTGTCTCTTTTGATATCAAATGGTATCCGTGTGTAACACAAAGAGAGAGAACTTAAGTCAAGCAGTCTTTGCACAAAATGAGGTAGTTCAGTTCTGAGTTGCTTGGCCTTATTGTTATTTCTCATCCCCTAAGAGCCAGAGATCCTGAGAAAAGACTGTAATTCCAGTGTTATTAAATGTTTGTCCTGTAAGTATTTAATTTTTCCAATCTTAATATTTTGTGATGCATTAATATTTATCATTTTTGGTTTTTTTACAGATTTTCTGAAGTAAAATCAAAAATAGCAAGTAAGTGAAAGTCATCTTTTTTCTACTTAGAAGCATAGAATTTTAGGCCTGAAAGAGACATTGGAGGTCATCTAATCCAGTTCCCTCATTTTACAGATGAGGAAAATGAGGCCTTCAGTGGTTGGCACAGTCTAACCCTTGTCTCTAGACTCCCAGGCCATTACTGTTTTCCCTATATCATGAAGCATTTGAAAAGTTCTGACTCACTATATTTCTGAGGCTAATTGACTTCTGTCTTAATGCTTGATTTTAATTGAGAGCCAATCCTGTATTTCCAGGGTGCCATGTGTTAATAATGCATTATAACCTGGGTCCCTATTTGATTGGACCATAAAAAAAAACAATGAAACCACGTGTTTGCTCTTGGGAGACAATTCTGATAATCAGGGTCTACTTTTGATAAGTATTGTTCCTTTGATCAGTCCTATGAAAAGCACTATTAAGTTAGTTTAGCCAGACTTAAAATAACTTCAAGAATATTGTTTATGACATTCACCATATAGTGGGCTCTAAATTAGTTATAATAACAGAATAAGTTCAAGCTCATCAATGCCAATCAATGTAGTATTCAGAACTGGATATGATGTTGTAGAAGAGATATGATATCTTTCTGGTTACTATATTTCTGTCAGTGCCGCTTAAGATTACATTACATGTTTTGACTTCCGCATTGAAAAATTGCATGTTGATTCATACTGAGCTTGAAGTTCCCTAAATTTCTTTAAAAATTTTCAATGAATATCTGAGCATGCCTTCTCCCATCATATATGTATGCAGTTCATTTTTTTTAGCCTGTGTATGGTACTTTTTCATTTATTTCTATTGAATTTCATGTACTGTCGAGTAGTAAAATACTTGGAGTCAAATGAGACCTGTGTTCAAGTCCTGCCTATCCTTTATTAGCTATGTAGTCATAAACAGGTCATTTAGTGTCTCTGAGTCTCAGTTTCTCCTTCTGAAATAATGATACCACTTGTTATATCTGCCTCTTAGGGTCATGGCAAAGATTACGTGAAATATTGTATGTAACTTACTTTGTAAATCATGAAGTGCTATTTAATTGTCAGCTATGTAGGTTTAGAATGGTTAGGAAGCATTTATGAAAAACCTGCTTTGTGCCAGGCAATGTGTTTTACAAATATCATTTCATCTGATCCTCACAACAGCCCTGTGTGGTAGGAGCTTTTATAATCCCCATTTTACAGTGTAGGAAACTTGAGCAGCCAGAGGTTAAGTAATTTGCAAGGGTCACATATCTAGTAAACATCAGCCTTCTATACACTCACTGCATCACCAGCTGTCTGCCTTTGGTCTGTCATTCTCACACGTTAGGCTGTCTCCTAACTCTGAGTTATCCACAGATGGCCTTCATCCACAGGTGCTGAACAGAACACAGTCAAAAGGAGAGCATTCTGTTAGAGCAGCAGAGGTCTTTTTCCAGTGAACTTTAAATTAGCAATCATTTCTTAAGAGCTTGTTTGTTATGTGCAAACTACTGTGTTTACGAAGGTGGATACCAACCAACATAGTCTCTGATTTTAAGGGGCACATAGTGGTGGTGGTAAAGGATATGTACAGAAATAACTGTGATTGACATACAAATTCAAAGGAGAGGTCTGAGCAAATTGCTATGGGAAGTTTGAGAGGGAACCAAGGAAAGTGAGATGAGGAAAGAAGATAATTGCAGGAATAGCAGATGCATGAGAAAAGGAACAAATGAGTATAGGTAGGAAAAAAATGGAGAGCAGTTGAGTTTTGTGGGACCATATTATAGGGTTGGAAAGACAAACTGGAGCCATTAAGTTAAAGGGCCTTGAGAGGTATGATCAGGAGTTTGTATCTTATTTTGAAGTGACCATTAGAGCACAATTACCATTTGTAAAGATGTCCCATTCTTTGGATTTGTATGCCCAGCACCTGCCACAGCATCCAGCTTGTAGGAGCTACTTAATAAATGTTTGTTAAAATTGACCATTGTGGGAGCCAGCTGAAAGTTTTTGAATAGGGGAATAAAGTAATCAACACACATTAGGGACATTATTTAGGCAGTGGTATGAAGGATACATTGGTGAAGGGAGAGACCAGTGGGAAGACCAGTGAGGAGATTATTGAGGTAGTCTAGGTAAGAAGAGATTAGACTGATTTCAGTGTTAATGAAAACAAAGGTGCTAGAGATTATTATGAAGGTAGAATCAATTAGAATTTGCTAACTCATTAGATATGGGGAATGAATAGGAGGGAAGAGCCAGAGATAATACTGAGATTAAAGATTTCACATTATCAATTGAAATAGGTGGCTAGAGAGAAAGGCAAGATTTGCAGGAAAAATAGTGACTTTGCTTTTGGGCTTCTTGAGATTAAAATTCTTGTGGGACATCTAGATGGAGATACTCAGGCATTTGGAAGTATGGGATTAGAATTTTAGGAACAATTTGGGATGAAGATACAGAATTGAGAATAACCTGTATAGGAATAATAATTGAAGCCTTGACAGTAGGTAAAGACCATCAAATAATGAATGCAGAAAGAGAATAGAAGAGGACCAAAGACAGAATTTTATAAGATACTTACATTTGAGGGGCAGGAAGATGAGGTTGGAAGAGTATTCTGGAGGGAGAAGGAATTTCTAATAATCAAATAAGTTTCCTTTTATTCTCATTTACTTTTGTCCACATCCCCCTATAACTCTTCCATAGGTAGTTTATTTGGAGTGCTGGGGGGCCCTTTTCACATTACGTGGTTGTCAGTGGTGTATGTGGGCTCTGTTGTCAGTTATCTCACACTCTTCCTACATAATTGCTCTGACTCCTCTTCAGGTCATACATCTCTCTGATGATATCCTTTATTCCATTTCTTTGCAGTTCTTCATTGGTGATATGCTGCAGCCTACTAACACCTACTATGTGCTTCTCCACTGCTTTTGGGTGGCCTACAACTTTAGTTCTTCAGAGATTGTAGTATTCTATGATTTATAGCCATGTAGCATCTCAGATATTCAAGTGGATCTCTGCTGTCATTGATTTGGGGGTTACCTCCAGTGATGTAGGCAGCAGCACATCCTGTGTGATGTTGGTCCATGTTTTCCCCAGAAGTTTGCCATGAGGTCTACCTAACATTCTGAAGGTCTTCCTTGGTTTTTCCCACAGTCTCAAGGGTACCAGCTGAGCACTCTGGCTACCCACCTGTCATCCTTTACTCTTGCCACATGACCAACCTGTGTTCTCTGCCTATCATATAATTTCTTGATGATATCCTTTACTCCTGTTCCTCCTCCAAGTTCCTTGTTGGTTATATGTTGCTGACTGCTTTCCCTCAAAATGTACTTGTCCGTTGTTTTTTCTGTGATACTTATGTTTAGTTTTTTGGAGGCATGGTGTCCCATATGGCAACACTGGCAAAATATTAGTACTGAAAGATGGGCCAGCTTTCATGGGAAGCTTGGGATCAATAAAAGAACTTTTCACATTCTCTATAGCAATCCAGCCTATTCTTCCATTCCATTCTGGGCTAACTTGTCCTTGTCCATCTGTATTATCTATCTCAAAAAAATCCGCACATGCACACGCATATGCACATGAACGCGCACACACGTTGTTGGACAAACTGTATGGTGTCTGTCCAAATGCGTGTTGAAATATAGACAGTAAACATTATTCGTCTATTTGGTCTTCCCTGTATGGATGGACAGGCCAAATTCCTTGAATATCTCTTGTTCCAGGGCGTAAAATTAGCACAGTGTCATCCACAGAGAGTAGTTATCTGTAGCTTCTCATTTCCTTGATTTGGACTTTGTGCTGGATGTTCTCCAGCAAATCCCTTTGGCAAGCATACTTTTTGACTTACATCTTATTAGACATTATTTATCAGCAGACCATAGAAAAATAGTTATTGCTGTTGTTAAAATTTTCAAGGTTATCTTTTATGATTTTAATACAGTCTTTTGTTAGAGGATTGCCTTTAAGGTGGCATTTTATTCTATTTGAATAAATTACTTTTTTTTTGTATCAACAAACAAAAAAACTAATGGATTTTTCTGTTCTTTATACTTTTCATATAGCTGTATGACTATAAAGACTTGGTCTGCTATAGAATGCCATTCAGAAAAAGATGCCTAGTTCCTTTCTTTTACCTTTCATCACATATTGTTGCATGTGTAATTTTTTAAAAAATCCAGATCTGTGATTTAATATCCTCACTTATCCAGGGGTCCAGTTCCCTGTTAGCCATGTGTGTTCTGTTATCTTCATTCTGAAGATTATTCTCCTTTGTAAAGAACACAACTAAAATCGTAGTTAGTTCTCACAATTATCCGTTACAGTTTTTGTATACACTGCAAGCAAGGGTGCTATCCTTTTTTGATCTTCCTCTTAATTCCGACATGACCAAAACAAACAAACACAAAATCCTCTTTGTTCATAGCTTTTATTGCCAGCCGCAGCTTCTCTGACTCTTTTGTTATAGAGCTGTAATACTTTTTTATATTCATTCTCGGTAACTTGCCCAGGATTCTGTCATTTGTTCATTTTCTCTCTGAATCTGAGCTTGTTCATTAACTCTCTTGCAGCTACATTGGTGCCTTTAAACAGGTTTCCCCTTTATTCCATGTAATTTTTTATTGTGTCATTTGATTTTCATTTTTGATGACTTCTCAATGCTCTTATGCTTTCTCTTTTATTTAAAGGGTGAGGCCATTCAGCCCTACCTTGGACTTCTTTAAAAATTTACCATGTGAAGCTATACATCTGACCATGCATATTTCTAGTGTTCCTATGATAATGTGGTCACCATCTGGCAAAGTTCCTGTCATTTCCGGGTCACCAAGTAATTCATCTTTATGCAGCATCAGGTCCAGAATAGTAGTTCTATTTATTGCTTCCTCCTCCCTCTGAAATATGAAATTTAGCAAGGCCAATCAAGAATTTGTTAGATGTTTTGCTTTTAGCAGAGGGGGATGCCTCGTAGATGTCCAGCTTTTCCACACGACTGTATTAATTCAGTTCAGCAAACATTTATACTGTTTCTGTGTCAGCTTTTAGATCTGCTTCTTAAATTCAGCTGGTTGGGTGGTCTGCAGTTAGTCTATAGTTATTACCACAATATTGCTTTTGTTTTTCCCTTTTTTCATCTTCATCTAAAAACTCCACTGTGTTTCCCTCCTCAAGTTTCACATATTTCAATAGATTTGAGAAATTTGTGTACAGCTTCACTCTACCTCTCTTTTTTCATCTTTTCTGGTTGAACAGTATAAACCTGTCCTGCCATGTTCTAGTCATGAAACAAAAATCAATGATACATACTTTGGAGGTCATTTTTGTTTCTTTTTTCTAATAGCTCTTGTTCATTTTTGTTTACTTCCCATGTGCTGAAAATTGTCATGTTAGCTATGAGGGCATACACATTATTTCTTCTTCTATTTCTGGTTATGGTATCTTATAGATTAATGAATACTTATATTTTATTCTTCCTCTTACATCTGCTGTTCCTTCCTTAAAGCTATATCTAGGTATTGTACTCCTTCTTCTTCCCTTTCTAGTTTTAAAGCCCTTTTGATCAGATCAGTTAAGTGTTCAGACCAAAACATCATTTTCTTATTTGTTCAGTGTTGCATTCCCAGACTAAAGCCCTCTGTCCTTCATTCCTTTCTTCTCTCTTTTCTCTACCCCCTTTTTGGAAAGGTTATGGTAACTCCCTTTGCCAGGGTTAGAAAGGGCTCAGTTGTTAATCTATGTAGTATATGTTTAATCACACATTGGTGTGGGGAAAATTTCTGACCTTAAAACATCAACTTTTCTATATGGTAGATACACTAATTTTACACTACCCTCATTTTATATACTTCATACTTTTTCTTTTTCTATTTTCCAATTTTCGTTCTCCAGTGATATTTAATGATAGGTCTATACCCATTTTCACTATCACTCTTAAGAAATTCATATATACTTAACTCTTTGCACATGCCTTATCTACCTAAGAAGAGCTGACAGATTTTATATATAGATATAGATACATAATTTTTTTTTTCTGTTTAGGTAAGTACCATGATTTGGAATGCCAGCTTATTCAGGAGTTTACTAATGCTCAAAAAAGGGGTGAAATCTCCAGAATGAGAGAAGTGGCAGCAGTTTTACTTCACTTTAAGGTAAATAACTTACTTTTTTAAAAGCTTAATGTTTTAAATTAATTGTTGTAAGTTTAAGACTGAACCCTAGGACTTCTGAAATCTTTCATTTCTTTTGATCATAAAACATTCTGTTTTTCTCATTTAAGTTTTAAGTGCTTCAGAAGGATCATTTTGAATTCTCAGTAATTTGAGAATGTGTGCTATATCTTTTGCTTGAATAATCGTAAGTATTAGGGATCAAGAAATAATAAATTGCTATTTTTAAATATCTATTATAGACCTGTGATCAAAATGTGCATTGCTTAGATGTCTTAATTTCTTTGTATATATGATGATTGCTGTGGGCAAAAGTCATAATGAATTCCAGGGGATATTCAAATTTAAGAATGAACATGTGGATAGAAATCATGTTTCCACATTTCAAGACCTAAATCTGAAGACCAATATCTTTGTAATAAATTACCAAATGGAAACTAGTGCTTTGAAATTTAGGAAAGGAAGGAAAGTGGTACCAAGCAGCAACCCAGTCTTCCTCCACTCTCCTGAATCTTTTTTGCATTGGAATTCTGGTTTGGTGGGTGGATTGAGAGGTTAGTTTTGGGTTGACTTTGTAAAATGTTAGAATCTTTAGGGTTAGTGAGTTTATATAGAGCCCTTCCTTTTAATGAGATTTTATGTGTTATATGTTTATGTGTTTATGTGTCTTTTTGCTCAGATATCATAATTTCTATGTTTTTCCCTTTCTCAGGGTTATTCTCACTGTGTTGATGTATATATAAAGCAATGCCAAGAGGTAATAGCCTAGGGGTTTGGGGGGGGGGGATTTTGTAGTATTACATGTTCTTTGGCACTTTTTAAAGATGTGTAAAACTATTAATTTGCTCTGCCCTTTAGAATGCTAATTTGAGAAGTGATATATTTGAAGATACGGCAATACTCTGCCAACGTGTAAATAAGCAAGTTGGAGATATATTTAGTAGTCCAGAAACAGTACTGGCCAAACTTATACAAAATGTATTTGAAATCAAATTGCAGGTAACTTTTGAACACTCATAAGTTAAATAGTCTTTTACTGTGTGTATTATGAGGGGAAATATTCTCTAATTCAAAAGATTGTAGCTTACAAAAGTTATGCACACTAGAGATTAGTCTTAGACAGTCACCTCCTATTTAATTAGAAAAAAAAAGTACCAACTATCATTCAGTTATAAAAGTTACACTGTCAGAACGATATATATGTTGAATTGTTTTCTGGTAGTAGGTATGGATAATATGGAGGCATCCACCTGCTTTTTATTGTTGTTTATTAACTCTCATAGCCAGTATTGGCTATTTGTGAAAGTGGCAAAATGGAATTACAATCTGTGACTACAAGTATTGACTATTTTCTCAGTGTAAAGCTAACAACAACTCTGAGAACTGAATTTGTGATCTTGATCTCGTTAACAACATACTTTAATTGAATTAGTCAATACTGATTTGTAAAAATTGATGTGTAGTGTAGATTGTTTTAAAATGAAAGGTGTACTTCTGAGTTCTTAGTTTTCCCAAAATCTTTAAAGATACAGCAAATTGTTAGGGTTTTAACAAAAATGAAATATTGCAAATTTTGAAAAAAAATTAAAAATTATATTGTTGCTTATTTGGTATGATCAGTTACTTTCCTATATAGCTGTTTCGTATTTTTGAGCAAGGAAGAAAATTAAACGCATAGTAATTTCTGAGGAGAAATTATCTTAAGAAATTGCCATATTGACTAGTGTAGAAATATGTTTTTTATGACTGCCCATGTATAATCTATAGCAAATTGCTTGCCTTCTCAAGGAGGGGGGAGAGAAGGGAAGGAGAAAGAGAATTTGGGACTCAGAATTTAAAAAAAAATAGTTAAAAACATTTAAAAATGTAATTGAGAAAAAATAAGAAAATAAAGTTATTGAGAAAAAAGAAATTGCCGTATTTGATGTATATATTATAATCTAGGTTTCTATGTGTATAATTTTTTTCTAGAGTTTTGTGAAAGACCAGTTAGAAGAATGTAGGAAGTCTGATGCAGAACAGTATCTTAAAAATCTCTATGATCTTTATACAAGGTATATATGTATATACATATATATATATATACACACACATATATATATATATGATTTCTATACTTTTTCATAATATAAAGGCATTGTGGATATTGTCATGGGAGGGCAATGTGTAGAAAGTAGCAGGTTAAATCAAGGAGTAGCAGTATTATTAACTATTTTTTAAAGTGGTTGATAGTAGCATTAAAGGTGCTTGTGGGAAAGGATCTTGGTATCATTCATATTCATATAAAATATGAGTGCGCATATTCATATAAAATATGAAATTCTCCCCTCAAAAAAATCTGTGTGGAAGGTGCTTTAAGCCTTTTAAAAAATATTTTGCTGCATGTCTTTATTTGAAAAGTATATCTTGAATTAGAATCTTTGAATAAGAAAGTGTCCCATTTATGGTAAAAGACAGTCTTGTATCTGATTATGAAAATTTCTCCTCTTTTGTTATTAGGGTCATTGCTACCCTTGTGATGAGTGAAGCTTTGTCCAGAACAGTCCTTAAATATTTTCTTCTTATGATAATTCCCCATATGGAAGCCAATTCTCTAGAAGTAACTTTGATCAGAAAGTCTGTGTTCATTGTAACTACAATTCCTACAGCAGTGGCAAAGGGCGTATTCATGAGATAGATCAGACAGGAAGGATCGTGAGCAGCGGCAGATTAGGCTGGAGGCTGTTGGAGGAAGGCTGAGAAAGAAGGCAAGGGGAAGTACCTCCAAGGAAAGTGGAGTTAGCCCCTTGATTGGAGTCCCTTTCCAGTATTTATACTGAGTGTCATGTATGTGGAACAACTGAGATATAGCTGTCATCATCCTGCCTATTCTGAGCCAATTTTTAGTATGACTTCCTGCTCTTAATTTTATTCCCAAAGATCACAACAATTGCTGGTGTCATATTATTTGTATTTGATAGTCCTTTCTACCTCCAGTGCAGCCCTTTAGAACTTCTGATTACTTGCTACCTAATCCACCCCATCCAGCTTTAAGAAGTGTTAGTGTGAAATAATTCACCAAAATTACTTGTAGAAATATAGATAGTCCTTACTTTTGCTACTATATCCAAACATACATTAATCTTTTTTTCCTTCCTCCCTCTATGAAAAGAACTACCAATCTTTCCAGCAAGTTGATGGAGTTTAACTTAGGTACTGATAAACAGACTTTCTTGTCTAAGCTTATCAAATGCATTTTCATTTCCTATTTGGAGAACTATATTGAGGTGGAGATTGGTTATTTGAAAAGCAGAAGTGCTATGATCCTACAACGCTATTATGATTCAAAAAATCATCAGAAGAGATCCATAGGTACAGGAGGGTAAGTTTCAAAATGGATTTTATACATACAAAAATACGGGGTTTTTTGGGCAGAGTCTATAATTTTATTAGCATAGAATAGTGTAGAATTTTTCTGTTGAAAATATTTTCCTACTAATGTAAATTGGCACCTTCTCTCTGCAACTTATGGTATTAAATAATTGCCCAAGACATTGAAAAATTAAGTGACTTGCCCAGAGTCACACAAGCCAATAAGTGTCTGAGGCAGAACTTTATTCCAGGTCTTTCTGCTACTGAAGGTAGTTCTCTGTTCTATTCTCTCTCAACTTATATTTTGAGCAAAAAGAAGTTTCTAAATAATGTTCATTTATTGAAAACATGTATTACAGAATTCTTTGTAACACTGGCTTGGATATACCAGTAGACAAATAAAATCTCTTAAAATGTAATAACTACATACCTAGATGACAGTCATCTCCTGATAGTGAATCTTCTAATGATGAGTTTTATTGAACAAAGCTAGGCTAGTCCTAATACAATAGATGCAAGGTACCTTGCTAATAAATCTGTTACTAAAGAACCTAAGAGACTCTTCAGCCACTTTCTCCAGTTCATGATGTGGAGGGTTGTATGCATAATAAATGCATAGTTAACATGTGTTGGATTGAATTAGTCTTCAGAAACTTTTTATGCCGAGTGTGGTCTTCATGTTGATAAGATTTATAATGACTTTTGGCTATAACATTGCTATGTAAATAAAATGGCAACTATAATAGGCCTCCAGTTACTGCTAGATCATTATCTCATAGAAAAAATGGTTTTTTATAAACTTTAGGATTATAGCGATACCTCACTTATCTGGCAGCCTAATTCACCTGAAACATGACTGAAATCCAGGGAAAAAGTGAAAAAAAAAAAGGACTTTGAATATGCAAACTAGTTGTCACTAAAGCTTACATATTTTATTTATAAATAACTCTTACTCAGGAGCTATTTAAGTTTACATTTATAATGTAAAGAGGCCTCACTTACTCTTTATATAATATTTTTAATAAAGTTGATCATTTCCCAGCACATAATAGATTAGAAGAAATGTGTACCTTAGAAATTTGTATGCATTGAGAGATGCTGTAAACAAGAACATTGACAATAAGAATAAATGACAAGTGATACTTTATCAGCTGGAGATGACACAGAAAAAAAACTGTTAAGAACAGATATAAGCGTAGTAGTCTGAGGACATTTAGCGGAGAGCTTTTCCTTTCTCAGTAACCCCTAAAGGCCCCATTACATCACTGTTGAATTGTGGTTAGTAAGTATATAAGAAGTCAGAAGACTTTAACACAATTTTGAGATAGGTCTTAATGGTCAAAATAAATTTGAGGACTTAAAACACTGTGTTGGGTAGAAATATATTTAGGTGCAATAGCTTATTCCCCACAGATGCTCAATAATTGAGGTGTTATAGTTATAATACCAGAATTTTAGACCTGGAAGGGACCTTAAGAGAGCACCTTGTTGCATGCTTTTGAATTACAGATAAGGAAACTGGGGCCTAGAGAGACTGATTGGCTTGCCCTGGATCATACAGCTACTTCCTGGAAGAATCAGAATACCAGGACTTTTCACTCCCACTTTAGGGCTTTTCATACCATCACACTTAATGTAGAGCATATTTATTGTAGTTTTTAATTTAAAATCTGTGCCTAATGGAAATACTTTTGTGTTATATGGTATTCCAGCATTCAAGATTTGAAAGAGAGAATCAGACTACGGACCAATTTACCACTTGGGCCCAGTATTGATACACATGGTGAAACCTTCCTCTCCCAAGAAGTGGTAGTTAATCTTTTACAGGAAACTAAACAAGCCTTTGAAAGATGTCATAGGGTAAGACTGATTGCAGGTTAATTTTGTACATACTATGTTTCAGTGGCTCCTTTAGCTCCTCAGTGTTAGTGCTTGCTATTTGCATCTTCTCACCCTGTGCAAGTCTTGTACAGGTTCTTCTATAAATCTTCAGTCTTCAAGATCTAGTCTGCATACTGAAGGCCTTCTTCTCTAGGTCTCTTAACATTCATTCCATGGATGCCATCACAGTTCTAGGGCTGTCTCATCTGTTATTTTTCCCTTCTTTCCAATTACATACGTCCTTGATATAGTCAAGCCATTTCTTGTGTCCCATATCATTTGTCATATCCTATAGCCTGTTGATACCCACTCTATATCTCTCCACTTCCTTTTGTGGCACCTCTGATTTTCTTTGGAAATTATAGTGTTCCATGCAGTAGGCCACATAAGCATCTCTACTCTCAAATACAGGGAAAAAATGTTTTCTGTAATCCTGAAGGTAAATGGTAACATTCTTTTAGAGAGTAAAATTAGTGCTAAGTTGCTTTAGGAGTTTACATTATTGTAATTTTAAATGAAACTTTGTGCCTGTACATTTTTTTAAAAGTTTGTCTTTTGAGAGGAGATTTCCAGGAGCCAAAATGGTGGAGTAAGCAACAGATCACTGTCCCTCTCCCATTCTCATCCCTGAACACCCATAAAATGGTGCCCCAGAACAGATCTTGGAACAGTGGGGCTGGCGGAAAGACAGAGTGGAGCAGTCTTTTAATCCAAGAGACATAAAGGATCAGCAAATAAGGTCCGTGTCCCTCAGGTAAAAGGGAAGCAATGTCTAGGACTGGAAGCATTCCAGCAAGCCTGCAGCAGGCTCCACTTCAATAAACCAGCAGGAGATTTTGAGCCCCAGAGAGGTGGAGCACAGGCAGATACCAACACCAGAACCCCCTGCATGCCTTGAGCACAGGCAAGGGAACTGGCAAACTCCAGCTTGGAGAACTACCATGTGTGCTGACACAGCCCCAGGCAGGCAGACATCCTCCAACAGCTGGACTTTCCTGTGCTTCTAACCTTGGGTGAGCAGGTGTCTTCTAGCAGCAGACCTCCCTGTGCTTGAGTGCAGCCTTAGAAGAAATGCAGAAAAACCCTACCTGGCCTCAGCACACACCAAACACTACCACAAAGACCCTAGCTCAACACCAGGAAAGCTGCTAGACCCCTATCGCCTCCAATGGCCAGAACCTGAAGCCCCAGGGCACAAAGCTAGTGACTGGGCCTCTGGACCCCAGCACAAGAAGCTTGAGACAGTTTCTTGTATCCCAGAAGCAGAGTTCAACTTTAAAAGCCAGGAAATAGGCAAACAAGATGAGCAAAAAGCAAAACTGAACACTGACCATAGACTCTATTTATGGGTACAGGGAAGATCAAAACACAAACTCAGAAGAGGACAACATTGTCGATATACCTACATCCAAAACATCAAAGGGGAATATGAACTGGTCTCAAGCCCAAAAGGCCTTCTAGGAAGAGCTCAAGAAGAATTTTAATAATATAATTAATTAATCAATTTATCGTATTTCATATATAGATATAATATTATATTATATATCATATCAGATTATCATATCAAATAGAATTAATAATTAATAGATTAATAAATTTATCAAATAAAAGAGGTAAAAGAAAAATTGGGAAAAGAAATGAGAGGTATACAAGAGAGAGTCAGCAGCTTGGAAAAGGAAGGACAAAAATTGAATGTAGAAAACAATTTCTTAAAAAATACAATTGGCCAGATGGAAAAAAAAATCCACTGAAGAAAACAATTCCTTAAAAAGTAGAATTGGCCAAATGGAAAAGGAGGTACAAAAGCTAACTGAAGAAAACAGTTTGTTAAAAATTAGAATTGAATAAGTGGAAGATAATGACTTTATCAGACAGCAAGAATCAGTCAAAAAAAATTAAAAGAATGAAAAAATAGAAGAAAATATAAAATACCTCATTGGAAAAACAACTGACCTGGAAAATAGATCCAGGAGAAATAATTTAAGAATTAATGGTCTACATGAAAATGGTCTACAAGAATTAAGGGTATATGGTCAAAAAACGAACCTGCATGGCATCTTTCAAGAAAGTATCAAGGAAAAGTATCTTGACATCCTAGAACCAGAGGGTGAAATAGTCATTGAAAGAATCCACCAATCACCTTCTAAAAGAGATCCCCAAATGAAAACCCCAGGGAATGTCGTAGTCAGATTCCAGAATTATCAGGTCAAGGAGAAAATGCTGCAAGCAGCCAGAAAGAAACAATTTAAGTATCGTGAAACCACAGTCAGTATTACATAGACTTGACAGTGTCTAAATTAAAGGATCACAGGGCCTAGAATATGATATTCCAGAAGCAAAGGAGTTTGGATTACAACCAAAAATTAACTATCCAGCAAAATTGAGTATAATCTTTCAGGGGAAAAAATAGACATTCAGTGATATAGGGACTTTCAAATTTTTCTGATGAAAAGACCAGAGCTGAACAGAAAATTTGATCTTCAAATACAAGACTCAAGAGAAGCATAAAAAGGTAAACAGGAAAGAAAAAAATGTAATTCAATAAGGTTAAACTCTTTACATCCCTGCATGGGAAGATGATACTTGTAGCTCTTGAGAACTATATCTTTATTATGGCATTTAGAAGGAGTATACATAGACAGAAGGTGTGGGAATAAATTGAATTTGATGTGATGATAAAAATAAGGGGTGAAAAAGGATTGTGCTGGGAGAAGAGGAAAAGGGGAGGCAGGATAGGGTAAATTACATTGCAATAAGAGGCGCAAAGACCTGTTACACTAGAAGGAAAGAAGGGAGGAGAGCAAGCATTGTTTGACCCTTACTCTCATCAGATTTGGCTCAGGGGGAATAACATACACATTCAGTTGGTTATAGAAACCTATCACACTATATAGGGAAGGAGGAGGAGAAAGGGGAAAGAAAAGGGAAAGGGGGTGGTTAGAAGGCAGGGAAGAAGTAGTAGGGAAGGGGGGAAAGGTAAGGGAGGGGAGATTAAGGGAGGCGGTGGTCAGAAGCAAAACACTGGTAAGGAAGGGAAGGGTGAAAGAAAAGTATAAAAAGTATAGAAATAGGATGGAGAGAAGGACACAGAATGTGAATGGGATGAACTTGCCTATTAAATGGAAGTGCACAGCAGAGTGGATTAAAAACCAGAATCTTACATTATGTTGTTTGCAAGAAACACATTTGAAGCAGAGAGATACGCACAGAGTAAAAGTAAAAGTGTGGAGCAGAATATATTATGCATCAGCTAAAGTAATAAAAGCAGGAGTACTGATCCTGATCTGACAAGGTAAAAACAAAAGTAGATCTAGTTAAAAGAGATAAAGAAGGGAACTACATCTTGCTAAAAGGTACGTAGACAATGAAGTAATATCAATACTAAACATATATGCACTAAGTGGTACATATAGCATCCAAATTTTTAGGGAAATTAAGTAAGTTACAGGAAGAAATAGATAGCAAAACTATGCTAGTGGAGGATCTCAACCTCCCTCTCCTAGAAGTAGATAAATCTATCCACAAAATAAATGAGAAGAAAGTTAAGGAGGTGAATAGAATTTTAGAAAAGTTAGATATGCTAGACCTCTGGGGGGAAATTGAATGGGGATAGAAAGGAATATAAGTTTTTCTCAGTGGTACATGGCACCTACATTAAAAAAAATGACCATGTACTAAGGCACACAAACCAGTCTTGAAAGGCAGAAATATTAAATGCATCCTTCTCAGATCATGATGCAATAAAAATTACGTGTAATAAAAAGCCATGGAAAGATAGACAAAAAATTGTAAACTAAATAATCTAATCCTAAAGAATGAGTGAGTCAAATAACAAATTATAGAAACAATCAATAACTTCATCCAAGAAGATGACAGTAATGAGAGAACATAGAAAAACTTTGGGGATACAGCCACAGTGGTTCTTAGGGGAAATTTTATACCTCTAAATGCTTACCTGAATATAATAGAGAAAGGAGAGATCAATGAATTGGGCATGCAACTGAAAAAGCTAGCAAAAGAACAAATTAAAAATCCCCAGCTAAATACCAAATAAGAAATTCTGAAAATCAAAGGAGAGATTAACAAAACTGAAATTAAGAAAACGTTTCAACTAATTAATAAAACTAGGAACTGGTTTTATGACAAAACCAGTAAAATAGATAAACCTTTGGTTAATTTGATTTAAAAAAAGAAAAAACCAAATTATGAGTATCAAAAATGAAAAGGATGAATTCACCACCAGTGAAGAGGAAATTACAACAATAATTAGGAGCTATTTTGTCCAGTTGTATGCCAGTGATCTGATAATCTTGGTGAAATGGATGGATATTTACAAAAATATAAATTGCCCCAATTAATGGAAGAGGAAATAAAATACTTAACTTCATTTCAGAAAGAGAAATTGAACAAGCCATCAATGAACTCCCTAAGAAAAAAATCTCCAGGGCCAGATGGATTTACAAGTGAATTCTACCAAACATTTAAAGAACAGTTAATCCTAATGCCATATAAACCATTTGAAAAAATAGGCGGAGTCCTACCAAATTCTTTTTATGATACAAATATGGTGCTGATATCCAAGCTGGAAAGAGCCAAAAAGAAAAAGAAAATTAAGGACCAATTTCCTTAATGAATATAGATGCATAAATTTTAAATAAAATATCAGCAAAGAGATTGCAGCAACTTATCATGAGGCTCATACATACACTGTGACCAGGTAGGATTTATACCGGGAATGCAGGGCTGGTTCAATATTAGGAAAACTATCAGCATAATTGACCATATCAATAACAAAATTAACAGAAATCATATGATTATCTTAATAGATGTAGAAAAAGATTTTGACAAAATACAACACCTATTCCTATTGAAAACACTAGAGAACACAGGAATCAGTGGAGTTTTCCTTAAAATGATAAGTAGCATCTATCTAAAACCATCAGCAAGCATTATATGTAATGGGGATAAGCTAGAAACATTTTCAGTTAGATCAGGGGTGAAACAAGGATGTCCATTGCCACCACTGCTATTCAGTATTGTACTAGAAATGTTAGCTTTAGCTATAAGAGAAGAAAAGGAAATTGAAGGGATTCAGATAGGCAACAAAGAAACAAAAGTCACTCTTTGCAGATGATATGATGATATACTTAGAGAATCCTAGAGAATCAACTAAAAAAAATACTTGAAATAATAACTTTAGCAGTTACAGGATATAAAATAAAGCCACATAAGTCATCAGCATTTCTGTATATTGCTAACAAAGTCTAACATCAAGAGATAGAGAAATTCCGTTTAAAATAAATGTAGACAATACAAAATATTTGGGAGCCTTCCTGCCAAGACAAATCCAGGAACTGTATGAACATAATTACAAAACACTTTTCACACAAATAAAGTCGTAACTGGAAAAATATCAGTTGCTTATGGGTAGGCCGAGCTAATATAATTAAAATGACAATTCTACCTAAATTAATTTACTTATTCAGTGTCATGCCAATCAGACTAGTAAAAATGATTTTATAGAGCTAGAAAAAATAATAACAGAATTCATCTGAAAGAACAAAACTTAAGGATATCAAGGGCATTAGTGAAAAGAAATGCAAGGGAAAGTGGCCTAGCCATACCAGATTTAAAACTATTATAAAGCAGCAGTCATCAAAACTATTTGGTACTAAGAAATAGAGTGGAGGATCAGTGAAATAGGTTAGGTACACAAGACACAGTAGTCAGTGACTATAGTAATCTACTTTTGATTAAAGACTCTAGCATCTGGGATAAGAATTCATTATTTGACGAAAACTGCTGGGGAAACTGGAAAAAAGTATGGCAGAAACTAGGTATAGACCAATATCTTATACCATATATCAAAATAAAGTGCAAATGATGACATGAGTTAGACACAAAGCAGGAAACAAAGCAAATTAGGATAGCAAGAAATAATTTTACCTGTCAGATCTATGGAAAATAGAAGAACTTATGACCAAATAAGAGAAGAAGAATATTATGAAATGTAAAATGGATAATTTTGATTACAAAATTAAAAAGTTTTTGCACAAATGAAGCCAATGCAACCAAGATTAGAAGGGAAGTAGAAAGCTGGGAAACAATTTTTACAGCCAATGTCTCTGATAAGGGCCTCATTTCTAAAATATAGAGAGCTAAATCAAATTTATAAGAATACAAGTCATTCCCCAATTGATAAATGGTCAAAGGCTATGAACAGGCAGTTTTCAGATGAAGAAATTAAAGCTATCTATAATCATATGAAAAAATGCTCTCAATCACTACTGATTAGAGAAATGCAAATCAAAACAACTCTGAGGTTCCACATCACACCTATCAGATTGGCTAACATTACAAAACAGGAAAATGATAAATGTTGGAAAAGATGTGGGAAAAATGGAACACTGATGCATCGTTGATGGAGTTGTGAACTGTTCCAACCATTCTGGAGAACAATGTATACCTATGCCCAAGGGGCTATAAAAATGTGTATACCCTTCGATCTAGCAATAGCACTATTAGGTCTGTATCCCAAAGAGATCATAAAAAAGGGTAAAGGACCCATTTATCCAAAAATATTTATATTAGCTCTTTTTTGTGGTGGCAAAGAATTGGAAATTGAGAGGATGACCATCAATTGGGAGTTGTGGTATATGAATGTAATGGAATAGTATTGTTCTGTAAGAAATGGTGAGCAGGCAGACTTTAGAAAAACCTAGAAGGATTTGCATGAACTGATGCTGAATGAAGTGAGAGAACCAGAACATTACACAGTAACAGCAACATTGTGTGATGACCAACTTTGTTAGACTTAGCTCTTCTGAGCAAGGCAGTGATGTAAGAAAATTCCAAAAGGCTTGTGATGGAAAATGCTATCCATATCCAGAGAAAGAACTGTGCAGTCTGAATACAGATCGAAGCATACTATATTTTCTTTTTTTGTTGTTGTTTTTTTGTTTTTTCTTTGTCATGGTTTTTGCTCTTGGTTCTGATTCTAATTTACAACATGACTAATGTGGAAATGTGTTTAATGTGATCATACATGTGTAGCCTATATCAGATTGCATGCTGTCTTGGGGAGAGGGAAGGGGGAAAATTTAGAACTCAAAATCTCATAAAAGTGAATGTTGAAAACTAAAAATAACTAAATTTTTCCTCAGTGCTTTGCTTACTGCTTTGGCACGTAGTAAAAACTTACACATCCGTGTGTGTGTATCATACACACACATACACAGATGCATATATACATATATACACATATGTATATGTTTATATGTGTGTATACATATACACACATACATACACACACGCATACACATTAGTATGTAATGGTAGCCATCTCTAAGGTAGGGGGGCAGAGAAAAAAGAAAAAGTTACATGATAATTTTATTATGTATTTAAAAGTAAGTAATAGCAAGTTGTACATAATAGATTTGCAGTTTCATATACAATCTTTATTTTCTGTTCTCTGTTGTGGAAATGTTTATTTTATTTCTTAAGTTCAGAATGCAATAAAATTTTTAAAAAGAATTTAATAAATGTTTGAATTTAGTATGAAATCAAGATATGAGTGAACATAAAAATTCCTTTTGTCATAAAGAAGATTAACCTTTAATTTTGGTTAGAATCGAGGACATGAAATCATGTAGTATTTTCATCCTTTTTGATATTGGCCTTCTCTCTGTTCTTCACCCATAACATCCTGTGTCCCAACTCCATGCCTTTGCATTGGCTGTCCCTTCTGCCTGGAGTGAGGTCTCTCCTCATATCAACTTCATAGGGTCTCTATCTTCCTTTAACTTAGGCACGATCTTTGGTGTGAAACATTTTTGGGTTTCCCTCTGAACTGCTAGTGCCTTTTCTCTCCCAAATACCATACATTTAAATACTTTCTGTATGTTTGTACTTACTTTATGTTTATCCTATGTTTATATATGTACTTCTTGCTTCCTTCATTAAATGTAAACCTCTTATGAGAAGGAATTGTTTCTTTTTTTTGTACTTCCATTTTCGTCTGCTTAGCATAGCACTTTGCATATAATAGGTGCTTAATAAATACTTGTTGATTGATATTTAAGTCACAGGTGTCTAATTCTGGATTAGAATTCATATTCTAGAAAGGCAAAGGCCCGAAATCTTAAGGTAAACATAAACCTTTTCACCAAATCCCCAAATACTGAGTGGGTGGGGGTAAGGAGTGGTTTACACTTTGAGACTCACCGACCAAATGAACGTAATGTGTAATATATTAATAATAGGAAGCCCACTATTCTGGAGGTTTGTATAGGTGGGAAACAAATAGGTTCGAAAAAGGATAAAGAGAAATTCATTTATGACAACTCTTCTGACTGCCCAAGATCCTTATCTCGCATTAAAGGATTATAATGGTCAGTCACGTTTATCCTGTGGCACCTGTAGTTCTTCCTGTCGTTGGGTGTTTGAAGTAGCTAGACAAGCAGTAAAAAACCATTGTTGCTGGTCATATACTTGAGTTTATTTTGGCCTTTCCAGGATGACCTGATCCAAGTCAGGAAAGTTATAGCCATTCATTCTAGGGCAATATAGATTTGGAGCATCACAGAGACAGCATGTGTGTTATGGTGGGAATCGTTTCTGGTTTTGAAATTTATTTTCATTTTATTATGTGATTTCAGTTGTTTATATATGTTTAATTTTACTCTTTTCTTATTTTTGTGAAATGTAATCTATATATATTTAAGCCCCGTAATGCTTTATATTTTCATTTTATTATGTGATTTCAGTTGTTTATATATGTTTAATTTTACTCTTTTCTTATTTTTGTGAAATGTAATCTATATATATTTAAGCCCCGTAATGCTTTATCTGTCCAGTAAATGTTAAATGAATTAATTTCTTTTTAAGCTGATGTGGATATTGTTTTTGTTTTTAAAAGCTTTCTGACCCATCTGATTTGCCAAGGAATGCCTTTAGAATTTTTACTGTTCTTGTGGAATTTTTGTGTATTGAGCATATTGATTATGCCTTGGAAACAGGACTTGTTGGTAAGTAAAATATCTTGTCTTCATGTGTGCATAGTAGTAAATAAAAGTATTAGAAATACTAGACATTTTTATATATATAGCATCTATATTTTTACTTAGATGATGCAGTATGCCAAAATCTGTTTTTAAGAATTATAAAATAATCAAAATTGTGTAATTTAAAAATCATTAGTGTAAGTTTAATCTGAAATGTCTTGTTATGAAATGATTAATGATCTTAATTTTAATGTTGCTTTCTGTATTATCTTAAAAAAGGATGATTTATTATTCTTTCTACTTAAAATTGTAGCTGTCTAATACATATTTGTTGATCAGCTGACTAACCAGATACATTTATAATGGTGCAAGGTATTAATTTTACTTAATAGCTGATTTTAATATACATTCACTTGCATTTTAGGAATTCCTTCTTCAGATTCTAAAAATGCAAATCTCTACTTTTTGGATGTTGTGCAACAGGCCAACACTATTTTTCACCTTTTTGACAAGCAATTTAATGATCACCTTATGCCACTGATAAGGTCAGTCAAATCTTTTAATTCATACTGTCAGCTCCGGTAGGTTGAATTATTTCTACACAGAAGAAGTGGCCGGCTCTGTATCTTGATCCTGTGAGTGCAGATCCATATGCTGAGCTATAGCCTCACATCTAAGCTACTCTCTCATATTGTCAGATGCTATCATCACCTTCCTAAAGGACGTTTTCAACTAAATGACCTAAAGGAATTTCAAATTCAGTATATCTAAAACAGAATTCATTTCCTCTAAAACCTCCCACTCTTCCTAATTTTATTATTCCCATTAAGGGTACTGCATTCTTCCCGTGACCACATTCATAATCCCAGCGTCTTACTGTACAAGACAAAAGTCTTAATGAAGTTTTAAACTACTAAACCTTAAAATTTTACTGAGGCTTTTAGGAAACCCTCTATATCCTGTAGTTAACCATTTCAACTACACACTATCCTCTACTCTTGAGTTACTCACTTCTTTTTCCTATTGCTGTTCTTCAGTTGCCAAAACCAAGCCTTGAATTACTCCTATCATCTTCTGCTGAATGGAGCTGGAAGAAGTTACAAAACCCTTTTGACTGGGTTCATAATTTATGTTAACTGTCTTCACCTGGCCCTCATGGCAGCAAAGGAATCTTTTATTCCTCTCTGATTGGTTTCTTATCACTCTTCATAGGAGCTCTTTCAAACCTCTTCTCCCCAAGTCTTCCTCACTCCCCTTTTTTCCACTTCTTAACTGAGGACCTTCACTATTTTACTGAGAAAATCTAGACCATTTGATTTGAGTTCCCTCTTCTACCCATCTCTTCATCTCAAAAAATTTTTGTCCCCTGGGGCAGCTAGGTGGTGCAGTGGATAGAGCACCAGCCCTGAAGTCAGGAGGACCTGAGTTCAAATCCAGCCTCAGACCCAACACTTGACATTTACTAGCTGTGTGACCTTGGGCAAGTCACTTAACCCCAATTGCCTAAAAAAAGCCAAAAAACAAAAAAAAATTTTGTCCCCTATTCTTTGCTTATGTCCTGCAGACTCTGATGATGTGACCCTTCTATTTGCCCAGATCAGTCCCTCTGTATATTCCCTTGACAACATCTCCTATAGCGAATTGCCCCTCAAACATCTCTTCTATCTTTAGTCTTCGAACTCTCTCTATAGATTGGTTCCTTCTCTACTATTTTCAGACATTCCCAAGTCTCCCCTTCCTTAAAAAACCTCCATTAGATCCTACTGTTCTCTCAGGCTGCCGTCCCAAATCTCTTTTCTCCATCTCCCTTCTCTCTTTGAACTGACTATCCACCTCCCCCATGCCTGAAATGCACCACCTACTCACCTCTACCTTAGGGAATTCCTCTCTTCCATCAAGAGGCAGCTAAAGCATTTCCTGATTCCCCTCAACTGTTTATTATGTCCTTGTATTTATTTTATCTTTATATACTTAAATGCTTGCTGCCTGTCTCATTTAAATATAAGATCCTTGAGAGTAGTTTTTTTCTTCTGTTTTTTATTTCTATGCACAATATCTGGTACATAGTAGGCAGTTAATAAATGTTCTTGATTGACCCTCAGCTCAGTCTTCTTCACTTCCCATTTCCAGTCACTTGACAAATCTTGTCACTTTTATCTCCATAACATCTGTCATGTGTACTTGCTTCTCTCTACTCAGACTGACACTGCCCTAGTTCAAGCTCTTGTCACCTCTTATATGGACTGTTATAATAACCTCCTAATTGTTTTCTCTGCCGCAAAGTGTTCATCTGTCCAGTCCATTAGATTAATATATCTGAAACACAAGTTTGGCTGTGTGGCCCCCTGTTGCTTCCATGATCAAATACAAACCCTTTGTTTGGCATTTAGCAACCTTCATAACATAGTTCTAGTTTACCTTTCTAGGCATATTATGTATCACTCCCCTTCACCTACTCTGCAGTCCTGTCAAACTGGCCTGTTTGCTATTTCTCGTCAGTATGGCGGATCTTCTTAGACAATAGTCTGTCTCTCATCTTCATGCCTTTACACAGTCTTCCTTCTCCCCTAACTTCCCCCATGCCTGCAATGACCTCATTCCTTCCTCTGCCCTTTACCTTTCTCTCCTCTCTCTTCTAAAATTGCCTTATATTTACTTTGTATATAGTTTGTATCTACTTATGTATACGTGTTGTTTTTCCCTATAGAATGTAAACTCCTTGAGTATAGGGATTTTTATGTTCTTGATTTTGTATCCTAAGTGCTTGGCATATGGTAGCCACTTGATAAATGCTTATTCAGTGGTATTTTTTGAGGTATTTTAGCTGAGAGGCATTATACTTTGGAAGAGAGAGTACTACGCTTAGAGTCAGAAGACCTGGGTTTGAGTCCTAACTCTACCACTTAGTATCTGATTATGAGCAAGTTATTTACACTCTTTAAACCTCATGTATAAAATTGGGATAATTCTACCCCACCCCACCAAGAAGTTACAAGGATCAAGTAAATTCCCTTTCTTCCTTTACCTCTTTTTTCCTCTTCTCACCTCTTTTCCCTCCATCTCTCTTCCTTACATACAATTCATAGTGAATTCTTGTCCCTTAACTCTTGGATCCATCTTTTCTTTGCTGTTACCATTGCTACAATTAACTGGGTTATTGTAACAGTGACATAACTTCTATCCACATCTCCAGTCTTTGCTGTCCAATACCATCCTTCCTCCCTTAATCAGTTTAATCTTTCCAGTGCAAAGCTCTGCTTATATCATTCCACTGCTCAAAAATATCTAGTGTTTACACATAATTTAATAAATAAGAGTCCAGACTAGCCTTCAGAGCCCTGTATAATCTGTTTCCAAGCTACCGTAATAGCCTTCTTTCATGGTATTCTGCTTGTTATACTCCACAAAAACTGTACTGCTTTCATTCCTACCATTAATTATACTTGGAATTCCCCATCTCCCACAGGGGAGAGGTTGGAAAGGGGGGAAAAAAAACAACTTCTGCTTCTTCATAAATCATAGTATCTTAGATTGAAAAGAACCTGGCAGTTCATGGGAGTTGATCTAGCCCAGCTTCTAGATTTATTGAAATCCTACTCATCCTTGAATTCCTGGCCCAGATGCCACCTTACTATGATGCTTTCCTGAATAGTGCCACCAGTAAATGAGCTAGCTCTTCTCTGTAATATTAGAATACATGATTTATCTAATGAGTAGATTTTAAGTGCTGTATTTATGACACACTTTTTAATGGTTCAGGTCATTCTAGGGTTGCATCTTGCATCTCCTATGTGTCTCTATTGATGCAATAAAGATGGGGGAGAGGGAGATAGTATTAATTTTGATTTGGCACTAAACAGGAGATTGATTTTTCAATTATGTTTTATCAGAACATCATATATTTATATAGCTATCAAGGTATAGATATCTTATGAGAAGTAGTGTACTGTAAGTTATACTGTCAATTAACATTTCAAAGACTGTACCACTGATAGTTTCAGGATCACATTCTAAAAAAATCCCTCCTAGTGTTTACCACTAAAGAGAGTTTTTCTTCCTGTGATAAGACTTGTTTAAACCATTGGGCCTAATAAACATACCCTCCCCTCCACATACATACATACTCCCATAAGATTTTGATGAGATGTGATGTGTATGTAGGTGACTCAGAAGGGAAATATAACTGGCAAATCTTTTTTCTTCCCCAAACTGAATTCAGCTTCTGATGCCATAAGCTAGCAAGATTATACTGTCATCCTCTTAGTCTCGTTTAACTTAGTGATTTCCTTTGATTTTTGAATAGTAAAGCATGATTTTTTGTTTCAAGAATTAATTCTCTTAGGAGTGAAACCAAACCAAATCATTCTGGTATTTTAAAATTACTTCGATAATGAATGTGCAATCTTATTTATATAGATCAGTGTAGATATTTATTCTCTTCAGTAATAGAGATCATAACCCTTGTATGCATTTTCATTGCATGAGACTTTCCTGTGGTTTCCCAAAAATCTATCCCATGGAGTCCATCCAGTGTCCTAGAAGCTTTTCTCCAGCCTTCTTGACATTGTGTAGATACCATTATAGCATTGTAAGCTGGCTAGAGGACTCCATATGTGATATTTATTATGTTACTGGCTCTTTTATTTTTCCTGTCATGCATTTCTCTGGTGATACTACATTGTTTCTCTTACCTGCTTCCTTCTTTGGATTGTTTCATCTTACTTATGCCCAGCATGCACCAGTCCACTGCCCTTCGAATGATTGTGCCTCAGTTTTGAAGGCCACTTGAGTGATATTTTCTTGAAAATTAGATACTTTCATATTCATTTCATTTCATATTCATTTACTGTTATTGAGTTGTATCGAGCCTTGCATATAGCCGTAGTCTCTCTGTAAATGCTATGATTTGGTGAATAGGAAAGAATATTCATTGCGTTTACTTACTGTTTGGTTGCTTCTTGGGGGCAAGACTAGACTATTTTTAAAAAGCAAGATTTTTGATTTTTCAAATAAGTAATAACATTGAATTTTTTTTCTTAAATATTTAATAGCTCTTCTCCTAAGTTATCTGAATGCCTTCAGAAGAAAAAAGACATAATTGAACAAATGGAGATGAAACTGGATACTGGTATTGATAGGCAAGTTGTATTGACTTTTTTTTTTACTCTTGAACTGTTGTTTGTTATTTGCATAAGGTGTCAATATTTATTTTTAATTTGAGGAAATTGTCAAGAATTCGTTTTTAACATAATTGCGGGTAAAAGCTCTTTATCTTTTATTTCCTAGTAAAAGGCTAATTCTGAGGTATGCCTCTGAGAACATCCTCTTCTCCCCTTCAGAAAAGCCCCCAAAACCAAAAAACTCCTCTACAGCATTTTAAAAAGATAATTTAATTTGTAATTTAAATTTCCAGGATTTTTTTTCCTATGTATTTTGAACAAACAGTAAAATGAATTCCTTGAAAGCCTCTTGTGTATTTGGTGATTGGGAGGGAGGGGAGAGGAGAGAACAAAAATAAGCTCCAAACTAAATTTCAGACTTGTGGTCTCTTTTATACCACATAACATCTGGCATCAAAGAAAAGAAGTAAGAAAATAGGCTTAGGACAAATAGACCGCATTAGTTTGACAGAATTTTGGCTTAGAAGAACCAGTATGAATGATCTAGTTCAATCTAATGATTTTAAATTGGACCATAACAAATCTAAGAGAAGCTAGGACACGGTAAACCCTTCCAGTTTGGAGTTATCCCTGCCAGATTTATTCTGTGGTCTAAACTAAAGCTCTCATGTAACAAACAACTGAAGACCTTTCCTCTTCTGACTAAGAGACCAGGCTTTAGTTATCTTTTGTATAACAATTTTTCCTACATATGTAAAAAACTTTATTAAGTTACTTCCCAACCATCTTTCTCTGTAAGTAATACTACTTCTTTACAGGCTTCCTCTATAGGTATTATTCTCCAGCATGTTAATTGTTTTGGTTTCCTGTGTACTGTTTTGTGTGTGCATACTTTTCAATTCCCTGCTTTTGTGCTGTTTACATTAAAAAAAACTAAGATGTCTGAGCTGCTGTCTGTTGAAGTGGATCTGTCTCCAAGTGGTGGTCAGGGTGCTCATATACAGGATCAGTGTCTTTTAGTCAGCGTCCCTCCTAAAATGTGATTCTTACAATCAGACATAAAATACGGCATGTTTTGGACATTGTAGTTCATTAGTACAGCCTGTGTCACTCTGTTGATTGATATTGACCTGATCAGCTGACATTCTTTTTATGCAAGTGCTACGTGATCAGCCAGATTTTCTTGTGCCTTATCTTTCCTTACGTCTCCCAAGTAAATATTCTTTTCTCTTCAAAAAATAACTTATGGCCTGACGATGCTTCATTGTAATTTACATTATTCATTTCTAAGACTCTTTACATTAGGAGGATTTGTCTCTTTCATCATTTTAATTACCTTTATATTAAATATCAGTACTTTCTGCCTGCCCCATCCCATTTGAATATCTGACTATATAGACTCACAGACATTTAAAGTTTAAAGTCTCGTCTAGTTTGACTTCATTTTACAGACAAAAAAAACTGAGACCCTGTTAGGTTATGTGACTTAACCAAGATCACTTGTTAATTGCAGAGCTGGAATTAGATCCTGGTTTTATACTCTCTTTCCACTGATCTGTACTGTTTCACAGTGTATTTTTTTTTCCTTACCAAACACTTTCATTTCATGTTTTATTGTTACAGTTAAATTTCAATCAATCAGAATCCTCATTAATTGAATTTGGTTTTATCACTTCACTAAGAGGTGAGAAATAAATCACAGGAAATCAGAGAGAGATTTAATTATTCTATAGCTACTAAACTGTACTTATTAAGACTGAAAAGTAGACATTTTAGGATGATTTTATCAGCAAAAATTGAAATAAAACGATTTTCTTTTCATGAATAAGTTAAGTGAACAAGGGCAGGGAAGTTCTAACTTTGAAAAAGAGGGAATGAATTGTTCGCTATTTAGAAATATTTTAATCCTTTCTGCTTAATTCTTTCCACTTCTGTAGTGATGGTTTTCTGAATTATGTGACAGTTGTCTTAAAACATTGTGCAAATGACTTTTTCTCTATTCTAAAGCAAGCAAATAATAAAGCAGAGATAATTTAACTTTGTGGAATTATCTAATTCAAATTAAAATTGTTTTAATATGGTGAGGAACCTTAATAATTAAAAACTCAAACGTATTTTTTTTCAACTTTGAAGGACATTGAATTGTATGATTGGACAGATGAAGCATATCTTGACTGCAGAACAAAAGAAGACTGACTTTAAACCAGAAGATGAAAATAATGTTCTGATTCAGTACACTAATGTGAGTGATGTTAATTATAGTTTTGTTAACGATTAAAGGTACTTTGAAATACTTTTGACAAATGCTCTGATATTTTTGAAAGATAATATGTATTTTTAAAATATTGTTATGCTACAAAATTGTCTTCTGTTCTTTGAAATTAGAGCCTGTGTTTTTTTTAAAATTGGTCTGATAGACGTTTCCATATTATAATTGTACAAAATTTTTTCAGGCATGTGTTAAAGTCTGTGGTTATGTCAGGAAGCAAGTGGAAAAGATAAGGAATTCCATGGATGGGAAGAATGTGGACACAGTTTTGATGGAATTTGGAGTACGTTTTCATCGACTTATTTATGAACATCTTCAACAATATTCCTATAGTTGTATGGGTGGCATGTTAGCAATTTGTGATGTGGCTGAATACAGGAAATGTGCCAAAGACTTCAAGGTAAGCACAGCGACTAAACCTTGTAAACAGGTTCCCAAAATGTATCAGCCCAACAAAATTTTTATTAGCCTATGGTATTTTCTCTGATCATTATAATGCATGTTGTTAGTGAGATAAATTTCATTACAGTGGGTATCATGGCCTTAAAGAAGCAGACCGTGAGTCTTTTGGTTCATATTTTCTGAATATTTTGTTTGAATACTTGGTTTCTGTAGGCCTAGCCCTTTTTTCAGGTCCATATGCCCATGCTGCATGCATGACTGACATGCAATATGTATTATGCATCAGAAAAAATTCCATAATTTAATTAATTTTTTTCTTTATTTTTTTCCCTGTCTTAATTTCTTTACAGTAAATTTTAAAATCATTTTCTTATAAAGTTTTCAACTAAATTTTTTTCAATTCATATTTCCCTTTAGTCAGTGAAAGGGCACATTTAATCATAACTGGCCCTATTCAGTAGAAATATTTCTGTGAGTGATTATGGTTGATAGAAATTGTAAGTCTTTGCAAGGAATTAAAACTTATTTAGAAATCTTTGCATTATGAAGTTTGAGTTGCTTTTAAATATTTTCATTTGCCACAAACAAAACCCTAATGGGTAACTTTCTTATGAGGGGTAAGTAATTGCAAATAGTTTTTCAGTCTTCTCATCAAACTAGTATTTCTTCTATTTAATAATTTTTTCTTCTCTCTCAATTCAGATTCCACTGGTATTACAGCTTTTTGATACTCTGCACGCACTTTGCAACCTTCTGGTAGTAGCCCCAGATAATTTAAAGCAGGTCTGCTCTGGAGAACAACTTGCTAATCTGGACAAGAACATACTTCACTCCTTTGTGCAACTCCGGGCTGACTATCGATCTGCCCGCCTGGCTCGGCACTTCAGCTGAGGTTGAGTTGGAAAGAGAAACTTGATGTACTTTGCCCAAGCCTTGATTTTTAGAAAGCACAGAGTATTCCTTACTGAATAGCCACATTTTTACAGGAAAATGACTTTTCAGAACAATATGGCAGCCATATTTAAACTTGAGATTTTATTGGGGGGAAATGGAGACTGATAGTCACATTTTGCAATTTTCTCTAATGATTTCAGCCAAACCTTGTATTGTAAATTTCTTGTCACTGTTTTCACCATGCGAGTTATTTACGTGGAAAGGCAAATAAGACGTTACCAGGGTTTGTTCTTTATCTGATTCCATTTAGCGACTTTAACTATGATGCTTAGCACAGGTTTAAAGCTGACCCAAAATACGTTTGCTCATCGCTTTTAATGATTTCTTCACTACAACCGATCAAATTGGTATTAACCAAATTCTTTTAAGGTGTTCATAAGTAATTTTCCATCATCTTATATGTTATCCTACTTTGCATAATTTCTGCAATTTTTCTGAGATATAACACTAATCTAAAAATGATGTAATAAACTAAATTGGTGAAGCTGTTTTATACAGATGTTAGTCAGGGGCCTTCAACAATATATTTGCTTTTGGCTTAACTCAAGAAGGTTTACAATATCTTGTTTGGTACATAAATCTTAAACATGTCCTATCAAGAAATATATATATATATAGCCACCCCATTTTAGATTTTGTTACTCTAAGGTATAAGGTGGGGTATCTTTATAGAAAGGACTACTTTTTTATTTTAAAATTATAAGGGAAATAAAAGGATGAGATATAATTTAAACACATGAAAATGTTCATTTTTAGGAGTAGTGCTGTTTTAAAGATTTCTGTCTTTAAAAAATGAAAGAATATTCAGAAAGTCTGTCCTCCATTTGAAGTTGAATTGGAAGTTCATGTGCAGCCAGCCAACTAATCTTTCAGACAAATTCATTACCAAGACTGGTGGCCCAGACCCCACAATTTCTGCCTCTCTCCTTCCTTAAGGTATTTCTGAAATGGATTCCTGTTGTAGGCAAGTGATTGAGCCAACCTAATGTAGTGATAGTAGATTAAAATACTTAGGATAGCTTTGCCACCAAGTGGAAATTTAGACTGTAGCTGAGCAATTGGCTCTGCTTAATTGAGCAGTAAGAAAACATTCTATATTGGCCTGTTTCTTTTACTAATCTCTGTATTCTGTTCCTAGTCTTTAAGGAATAGAACGTCTTCAATATTCAACTTATGCTAACATCCTTTAACACAACCACAGGCTTCTCTTTTCTATTTTTAGAAATAGGTTATCTTCTGAAAAATCTGTTATTTCTTAATATTCAGTTGTCCTTACCCAAATTCTTGAACTTTCTAGACCCTGGGGATAGATATAAAGCAAGTCAGTATTTACTGGTTTGTCTTCATTTGTTCTTAGCACAGTATTATCAAGGTAAGCAAGGGAAATATAAAGTATGCCAGATTTTATGAAATCATTCTGGAAAACTGGCAACTTTAAACAGCTGTATAGTTCTGTTTCTTAGCAAAGAGAGAGCCACGGCAAGTTTTGGATACTAGAAAAAGGCACATAAATGTACTATTGACATTTTAGAAAGCTTTGATATGAATTCAAATGATACCTCTGTTACTTAAAGCCAACAATTTTAAAGCATTGGCTTTAATGGCCACTTAAAAAATGTTTGTATACTGTGTCAATTTGTAAACACTTTTAGTTATTAAATAAAACATTAGATGTCATTTTAAGACTTCAAATCATAGATGTGCTTCAAAGTTATTTTGTATGTTTCAGTTCGTTTTAAAGATGTAAAATGTATGCTTGTTTAAATATTTTGTTAGCTATATTTTCCATGTTTGAGTTCTGTGCGATATTTTTATTATGTCCATTATAAAGATAGTGACAGAAAAACCCACAGTACTTAAATTTTAGACATGTAAACATCCTTGCTCAATAAACAAATTCCCTAAACTTGTTTTTTTATTTCATTTCTCCATTCATATTCCATTTGATAAATTACTTCTATTAAAAGAAAATTTTAAAATACTTTTTCCTTTAGATTCATAGCTTAAATTTTTCTCCTAACATTAACTTTTACCTAAAAGTCAGATTCCAGGCATATTCCGGTCTTTGGGAATTCAGCTTCCACATATTGTCTTCAAAGAAGAAAAATAAATTTATCCATATTAGGCAAACAACACATATTCATTAACTAATTAAAACTCGACAATTTTGTCATCATTTACAGCCATCACATCCAAATGAAGGTTGGGAAAGAATCTGTACACTTAATTAAAAAATAATAATTCATTTATTTGGACAGTGAAATTTTAAGTTAAAAATAACCTATTTGAATGTTAAGAACTGTACATAATCTTAATTACATTAAAATTAAGTGAATAAGTAACTTATTAAAAGCTTGAAGATGAGAATCTAAGTCACATTTTCTGAAATGTTACTGTTTGAAGTGAAGCAATACAAAATCTGGAGAACAACTTAAGTCTTAAAAGAAAGTCTCTGGATTGTGTAGTGAAGACTTAAACACACTGAATGATTGTTTCCTAAAGAAGAATCATAGAATTATAGAATTGGAAGAGATCTCAAAAGATTATGTGACTCTTTTAGCACTGCTTATAGACAGGTGACTGAACCATTTCAAGTATATGATGAGTCTCTCCTTAAAGATCTCCAGAGACACAATCACCAGAACTTTGTTTCAGTACTTTAGTGGAATATTTTTAGCTCATGATCCTTTTCTGACACATTATAAATAGTAAAAAGTAAGAGAACTGCTGGAAAGTAAACATTTGCCCTTTATTTTCAAATGGTCCCATTATCTTTTTACTGTTTTTCTTTCCTCTAAATTGCTCCTCCACTTTATACACAAATATTTTAATTAATCAGAAGCCTGAAAGTAGAACTATAATACCTAAAGTTGACTTTAGGAGAATGAGATTCTCAATCCAACCTTGAGTTACCAAAAGCCTCTCAACATACAATGTTACACCCATGAGGCAGTGTCAGCGTGACTTGTAGGAGTGTTATAGCAAGATTCCAGTGTATAATCCTCTGACTTCTGAGAGTTTGTATTTGGGACCCCTTTAGTTTAGTTGTTTTGGGTTTTTTTTTGACTTTCCATTGTTTATATTGCTGTTGACTTGCCATGTACTTTGAGGAAATGTACCTTCCAAATGCTACTGCTCTCTTTTTCCAGAATGCAGTACAAAAATAAGTGATGTATAAAAACTTCCTCAGTTTTTATTTTAACATAATATGTAGCTCTCTTCAGTGTCTGCGTCTTCTTACTCTACCTGAGAAGGGTTGGTCTGATAATGTACTTTGGAAGGGTGCTTCTTATTCAACTAAATGTAACTAAACCTGAAGCTTTCAGTGACAAGTACAAGTTGGTACTGACTGAAGGCGTGTACAATCCAGTTATGAGATAGGGCCTTTATTTTGAAGTTTCATTACAAAACTAGCTGTTTCACAAAGAATTTTGCTTTTTAGTATTTTCTATTGCCCTTTCTTGATTTCCCCTCTTTCAGATACGGCTTGTGAATTTAATGATTAAGTTCTTTGTAGAATCCTGTGGCATATTTTCTTCATTCACTAGTATGTATGATCATAAATTGTTTGTCCTTATGGGCCATTTCCACTATAATTTTTCATGATAGGTCATAAGTTGCAGCAATGATTTCAGAGGTCCATCTTCTCTCAGAAGCATGACTCTCTTATACCGTCTCTGAAAAGCAATTATCCAGCATGCATTTGAAGACTCCCAGTGATGGTGAAGTCACTATCAACCAAGGCAACCCACCCCACTTTCTAAGAGAAATGAGAGTGTGCTAGTTTTTCCTTCTATTAAACTGAAATCTACCTCCTTGTTAGCTTTCACTTACTGCTCTTAGTTTTCTCTTTGACCAAGAAATATGTGTGTAATCCTTCTTCCACATGATTGGCTTTCAGATATTTAAAGCTAGTAATAAAGCACTTCACGTTCCGACTAGTTTCCCAGGTTAAACATCCTCAGTTCTTTCAACCAGTCCTTGTAACGCATGGTTTCCTGTGCACTTATTTTGCTGGACCACCTCTGGACACAATCTACATATCTTTCCTCTTTTCTCATTGATCTTACATTTATTTTAAACACATTTTTGTTGCTTTTGTTTTAAAATTATCTTCATTCCCAGGCATATCCCTTTCCACATTTTCCATTTCCTCTTTAGAACACCATCCCTTCTAACCCAGAAATAAGGAAAAAGGGGAATGGGTGGGGAAAGGCAGTTCAGCAGAACTAACCCACACCTCTATTCTTTCCAGACTGAACTTAGCACACTTGTGGTCTGAGCAGAGCAGAATACAACAAGGCTACTCCTTGTACTTGGAGGCAGCTAGATAGTGATGGGCCAGGAGTCAGGAGGATCTGAGTTCAAATCTAGCCTCAGATACTAGCTGTATTGGCCCTGGGCAAGTTACTTTAACTTGTTTGCTTCGGTTTCCTCATCTGTAAAATGAGCTGGAGAAGGAAATGGCAAATCACTCCAGTATCTTTGCTAAGAAAACCCCCAAATGGGGTCATGGAAAGTCAGACATGACTGAAACAACAAAAACCCTGGTACTCTAGCAACTTCTTTGGTTACTGTCTCATGCTGCTGGCTCGATTGCGGTCTAGTAAAAACTTTTAGGTCCTCTTTACATGAATTAAATCCAGCCATCCTGTACTCATATAATTGATTTTTTCAGTTTAATTCAGTGGTAATCAACAAACTTAAGTCCCTATACTTCTCCCTGTTGAATTTTGTGTTACCAGTCTTTGTTCATCATTACAGCATGTTGTGATTTTTTTTTGGGGGGGGGAGGTTCTGATTCTGTTATCCATTATTAGGTACTTCCCTCCCAGCTTTGACTGAAGGTATAGCTGTTCATGTAGAAAATACCATATACCATTCCCTCTTGAATAATAAACATCCACTTAAAAGATACAAGGAAAGTAGTTTCTCCTTTCATATACACTGAAGGTTTGCATAGCTGTATTTGTCAGGTAAAGAAAAACAGTTGTGATGGAGTGGAAATAGAAATTAACTTGGAGTTGGATCTGTGTTCAGTCTCTGACTTCTTTGCTTATATTTTGTGAATCACTCCTTAGCTTGTAAAATGAGATTGATACTACATTCACTAGTCACTCCATATGGCAGTTGTAAAGAAAGCATTTTGTAGACCATAAAGCAGTATATAAATGAAAGCTACTCTGTAGGGACTAGGCCTGTAATTAAAATGTGAGACAAAAATCCATTTTGAGAATGTGAAAATGTGTGTGAACTAGAAAACTCATTTTAGGACCTTTGAAAATTGTTCTTCATTAAATTTCATTTCTTCCTCATTCAACACACAAGCTGGAAGAATCAGGTTTTGGGAACAGAGAGAATCATATTGAAAAGATTCATAAATCAATTTCTGTGTGTGTGCATAGTAAGTGGACAACTTTCATGCAAAATGCTTTTTTTCTTCTTTATGTATATTTTTTACCATTGTTGGCTGAGGGTATCAATTAACCTTAGCTCTTATAACTTAACTTTATTTGATAGATGATTCCTTAAAATTACCTGCTAAGGCTTTGTCAAGTGAGTTTCAAAGGTGGTGTCGTCTACTTTATCCAAAGTCAATTCAAGTATGAATATATAACATACTCAAACTAGCAAACAACTTCAGAAGAAAAGCACTTATTCAGAAGGCATGATATGAACGAGGCAGCAATGATGCATTACAAATATATAATTATTTGCACTAATATTTGAGCAGGTGGAATGGATTAGTACTTGGTCAACATTACACTGATTATAATGTACTTTCCTATATTAATATGTACTGTGTAACATGTATTAAATTGTCAATTCATTTCAGCTAAGATAGTAATATTTATATATCTTTTATAGACAGTATCCAGTTGAGTTAGTTTTAATTCAGAAGTTTTAGGGCAGAAATAATTTTACCTTCCAAATGACCTGACAATCACTAGATAATAGAATTATCAGTAATTGGCAACAGGTGGGACTTCCATTTTTGTCCTACCACACAGCGTTCCTTTGCAAAGTGACTGTTACTCCCTCGATATCCTTTCTCCAGTCTGAATCCTCTTATATCATCCCTTTGCTGTTCATAACCTCCCCCCTTCAACCCCAAATTGGTTTTTCTACCCTCTATGTGTAACCTCCTTGACCATCCTGTTAACACGAGTTCCAGCTCTCACATACTTGGCAAGCTAACCTGATTAATACCAAGACGAAACTGTTACTAGTTGGTCAAAGCTTAGAGTCTTACCCCTCCCAGGGCTATTTGCATTTTAGTTGGGGACTTTTCAAAACCAACTTACTTTAACTCGAAGAAATGAATCTCTAATGATAGAATTAAAGGTGTCATGGCAGGACAGTTGGGAAGAGGTTGGAGGCTTAAGTGGGAGAAAGATTGCCCAATAAATTCACATCAAGTAGGCAGTTGCCAGAAGCCTCTGTGGTTAAATAGTCCATCGTTGGTTGAGAATTGCCTCTTTTTCTGTTGCTGTTAAGTTACTTAAAAATAAATGGACCATCAGAGGCGTGCGTTTAAATAGTGTCTGACCTGGAATGACAGAAAATGTTGCTTTTTGAGTATCCACCATTTGCACACATTACATGACATTTAGAATTAGATAATGTGGGTTCTACATGAGATGTGAAAGACAAAGTACCTACATGAAGTGAAATATTGAAGATTGGGTGATTAACAGTTCTGAATCTGCACGATTGTAAATTCTGATGCATAAACATTTTGAGCCACCAGGGGGAGAATTTATTTGTATTCAGCAAACACTGAATGTCTACTATGTTTTTATGGTAATATTTTAAGTTTCAATTTAGAGCCTTTTTGAAGTTTCTTTTAAATTAAAAACCCCATGAAGCACAACATCCTTTACAGACAGACACACTGTTAACCTA